AATGGGATATGCTGAGATGATGCTTCTTTGCTTTGAGAAAGCAATAGGTATATAATTTCTATTATTCGTTCTTTCTTTCAGGAAAGTAGCTTCAAATGGCCTTTGGCCTTTCGTATTCTATACTTAACACATGCACATCATCAGGTGTGTACTTTCCTTTTTTGGCTTTGGCTCGTGTTCAGAGATGATTAGGCAGACACGCGTAGGTTCGATTCGAATCATAGTAGTCAGTCACGCTTATTATTTTTTGTCCTTTTTGCTTCTTGTAATTGTGTTGATGTCTTTTTTGCTCGCAAAGTCGTCTTTTCTCTTTGCCTGTAAAAGAAAGGGGATGAGGCGGAGAGGGAAGACGGTTAAGGCGGTTTGCTCACTCGGTCCTTTCTTCTGGTGCGTTGTACTTGTAGTGACTTCTTTACATGTGCGCATATGTGTTTCTATTATAGTTAATAGGGGTTTCACGACCACGCGTATCCTTCTTATGGCATAATGATTGCTTCGGAAACAACAAAGAAAGTTTTTAATAAATTTAGTAAATACTACCACATCCAATCACTCCTAAGATAGATTCGTTTAATGCTCCTTTTCTTGGCCCTTCGTCAAGAAATTCCACTCGACCACGGACGGCTAATACTATATAGATTGGATATAGTAAGGCCTTAAGACTAGCAAAAAAGAACAGAAGCAGAATTGATCGACATATATGATAAAATACCAAAACGGAAACAGCATTACTCCCGACTATCTTTATGGGTAACTTGCAATTATTTGTATCATAATGGTTATATACCTAGGATCCCTTCGCAACAACCCCCGAAGGCTACAAGCAAACCACACTGCACCCTGCGAATCGGCTAAACACCGGTCAACAGGAGCCATTTGGTATACAAATACGTCCCAATACCGCGCGCATTATACAATACTATTGGCTTTTGGGTGTTCGAGATAGAGACAGAGCTTGGACAGCCGCCATCATGCCCCCCCACCTCGCACATTACCGACAACCAGGTTTGCTCCATCTGCGGGACCATTATTTTATTTTATTTTATTTTTCGTTTTCTACGTTCTGTCACGCGTCGCGCCTGCATGTGCTTGACCCGGCATACTTACATGGAAAACTGTGGTCAGCGCCAGGTAGTATACTAGTAGTAAGCTACTAGTACGTACGGCCTGCATGTCAATCTTCCAACTCTCTTCCTCATATTCCGAATCCTCACAACCGAGTCCCGGCCGAGGAGCCGCGCTGTGCGCTGTTGCGCGACGAGAAAGAAGAGAAAGAGTCTCGGGCAGCACGAGCATCCAGCAATGTGTCACGAGCCGCAGGGCTAGTAGGACAGGGAGCGGAGGAATGAGGAAATCCTTGTTGCAACTCACACCGTACTCATTTTACTTCTGCAAGGCTGAGCTAATGCCACGGCAGTTGTATCAATGGAAGGAATGAAGAAAAAAAGTGTGGAGGGTCCAGCGACGAGTCAGCAATGGGTTTCTACTCAGTCTGGTTAAAGCTACTCGTCATACAGACATGCGCATTGATCTGAGGTTGACATGAGGTGTAATGGAAGGAAGCTTGGCGCCCTGTTTCGGGTTGCACATAGGGCTGATAAATGGGGGGATACGAAGATGATCAAACTCCCGGTAAGGGGGTAAGGGGGATGTGACAGCCACTGCCGGGCTGATGATTAGCACTTCCGGAACGTCAACCTTGAGATCCGGGTCAGCTCAGATTGCTGTCAGCAAGTTTCCACCGTATACAATCAAAGATAGTTGAACGGCAGAGGGAAATGTCGTTGGTGACATCGAATATGTGTATCTGTATGTAGTATGTTGGTTGGTGAGGCTAAGGGATGCCATGAGCTTTAGTCGGCGTGGCCAACACCGCATCTGTTACAGGCATGTTACAGAAGAAGGAAGACGTCACAGGAGCAAAGAAGACAGACTTTGAACTGACGATGCAACTTAATCACTGTCACTCAACAACATGAACTCTCTAAGGGTCTTTTTTGCTCTTAGCGGCACCTGCGCCGCTGCTACTACGTCGCACATCCACGGGCCATCATCATCACCACAATGTGCCAATCTACCGTCACACTTTGCAGCACAGATGCAGACCCCACTCCGGTCCCAGCAATGTCTGCATGGAGATACCGACGCCAAACCACCACCCGTTATACCGTCATTCAAACACCCAATCTGGTCTCACGAGCCGATATGCGTCACAGGGAAAGAGAAGGTTTACTGTATACACACAACGTCAGACTCGGGGAGCGGTCATGGTCTGAGCATCATTGCGACACCATCTGCTGCAGGGAAATTATCCGCAAAGTTTAGCAAGCAGCAGAAGAAGAAGAGAGGCAAGCATTCCGAAGATGGTCTCCAAGTACGGTCTATCCCGGGCAAAGGCAAAGGTCTTTTCACAACAAAAGTCATCAAGAAGGGGGAGACGATACTACTAGATCCTGCACGTATAATCGCAAGTTCTCACTTTCCAGCGCGCGTATCGCACGCCCAAGGCCGGAGGTTATTCAACTCCGCGCTCGACCGACTTCCCGAAGAAGATCACAAGATGGTCGCGGCATTAGATCAGAGTCTAGGTGGCAGTCCAATCGAGGACGTAATGAAGACCAACTCTTTTGCTTGCCGACTAGACGATGGCAACATGGACAAAGCCTACATCTGTCTCTTCCCCTCCGTCTCCCGCATCAACCACGCATGCCAGCCCAATGCGCTCGCACGCTTCGTTTCAAAGACACTATCGATGCAGGTCAAGGCGAAGCGAGACATTGCTATAGGAGAAGAAATAAACATTTCGTATGGAAGAGTAGACTTGACGCGCGAAGAACGACAGGAGCTGTACAAGGATGGATGGAACTTTGAGTGTACATGCTCGCTGTGTACGGCGCCGCACGGCGAAACCAAGGCAAGCGACGATCGCCGAGTAAGGTTTGCTAGGCTCAAGCAGAAGCTTCAGAATCTGACAGCAGAGACTTACGACGCGAAAAAAGTAGTGGAATGGGAGAAGGAAGTCATGGCGATTGCGCAGTCGGAAGGCTTGGAGGTGTTGCTGGCTGAGGATTACGAGAGACTGGCATATGTGTATGCAGGCCATGGCATGGCCAGCGAGGCACGGCGTTGGGCGGAGATGGCTAAGCAGAACTTGCTGGATTGGGCGGTTGAGGACAGTCGTCGAGATGACGATGTCAGGAGATTGGATGAAACGCTCGCAGAGTTGGGATGAAGTTTCATGGCTGAACTACTACTTTGGTGCCTGGTCACTGCTGCGACTTTCCTAATGAGGTCCTCTCCACTTTGGCAAGTAAGGCTGCCTCGGGTTGTCATCCGCATTTTGTAAAGTTTGAGCCCATAATCTGATGTCTGCAGCATGGGTTTCATCTGTAGCCATTCCGTAATAGAGCGCTAATGGTCTTCGGAAGATGGTATGCGCTTCCGGCTCTCGGTAGGATGGGAATGAGGAATGGTCGAGCCAGCCCGACGAATGCGTCCACGGCAGATGGGCGCTGCAAATCTGTCTCTCTTAAAAGCGTTAGAACGATGCTGTTCGCTTTCAAATCGGTTTCCTCAGGCACCAGCTGACGGTGTCCAGTCTGCCAAGTGAGCAAGTACGCGTTCGCGCATGGGTCAAAGAGGGCTTGGGGCGTCTTCCTTGAACGGGACAAGGACCCTGCGCGGGGTGTTGGAAAAGGAGGTCAGAGCATCAGGTGTAACTAGGCAACCAAGTCTAGAAACGATTAGAATGCGACAAAAAAGCAGCAAGGCCAAATCTCCACGTAGATCGGTGACGTACGGGAGCTCCTGGCTAGGTCGGATCCTGATCAGGGGGTTCCGGCTCTTCAATTCCCGGGTACAGGCGAGTTGAGATCTGACCGACGATCTTCATAATCATCACAAGAAAAATACGCCAGAGAAACGAGGCTGGGAAGCCACAGCCGCAGGGCTATTACAGATGCGATGAGATTGTCCTCAAAAACGGGTTGAAGCAGGTGTGATGAGCTTGGTTGTAGCTACGTAACTTGGGGCATGCTGGGCTAGTAAGCAAGCCATGCGGCTGGCCGTTGTCTCTAGCAAGCGAACAAAAAAATGACAGGACGGTTGGCCGGTACCGTTGACAACGGCGATGAGTCGCATCGCAGAGTGCAGAAAATAGAGACGTCGAAGGAGCGTATGCGCAGATGAAGAAGGAAGCTGCAAAGGACCGTCTAGTACGGACAAATGGTTGATGCCCAGTCTGGGTCTTGACCTATCATCTGCCCTTTACCTTAACATCATTGTCCCTGCATGTCAAACTTTCCCCTTGACCCCCTAGGCGCATTGCTCTCTAGGTCACCCATTCGCCGCGTGGTTCTCACTCGTCTTGACAACCTTCTCTTTGTGGCCGAGGCCAAGCAAAAAAAGCGATTTCAAACACCCTCCCTGGTACACGTCAAAGCAGGACACAAAACATGGGGGGAAGGAAACTCGCGCTCGTGCTCTGCAGCGTAAGATGAGCCACACAGTGGCGCCCGGATGACCCGTTGCCTTTGCTTTTTCGCTCCTTTGGCTGCTAAAGTCTTCTGGACTCGAGGCGCTACGCTTGGACGCGGGCGGCCGGTTCGCTGCGTTACCCCAGCCGAGTCGTACTTACTTACGCTTGCGGAACCACAGCGAAGAGGTTTTGCCCACCTTGTTTCATGGCGCGACTGGGTGTACCCTGCTATTTTTGTCAGCTCAGCCTGCGCCCGTAGGTAGAGTTGACAGGGCTCCGTCGCATAATACTGCGGAGTAGGGATCACAGACTAAATATGGCCCTGCAATTCTGCCCGTCCCACAACAATATGTATATGCGGTGGTTAAACATCCAACTGTCTGTATATCTCCGTAGTCTCTCAACATCACCGGTTCACTCTTTTACTTTTTGGCTGTTAGCCGTGACCTTCTTTCCCACTGGTCTATTTGCTTTCATAGTCTCTCCTTCACTTTCTTTTTTTTCGTTTAGTCTTTTGTCTAATATGGTCGGGTGCCGATCTCTTCTAACGGTCCTTGTGACTTTGGCGGCCGTTGTAAAAAGCCAACAATGCTATGGTGTGGACGGATCGCTGCTCGATAAATCATACACGCCATGCAACCCCAGCGCAAATGTTAGCGGTTGCTGCGCGAGCGGCGACATTTGCCTGAGCAATGGACTGTGCATGGGAACTCAAGGAGCCTCGATTGGCGTCATCTTTTCAAGAGGCTGCACAGATTCCACCGGAAAGGATATAGCATGCCCACAGCAATGCTCCAGTGGTATGTCTTTACGAAAAAAAAAACACATTTAAGCATACGAGCAATTCTAACAAATAGACAGCTTCCAGCAACTCAAACAGTGCATCCACAGTTACTGCATGGCAACTCCAAACCTGCGACTCTGGAGAATACTGCTGCCGTGCAGCCAACTCCACCAAAAGCTGCTGCAACAACCCCACAGCACCCCGAGTCACATCACCTCTCAGCGCCACTCTCCAGATACCAGCCCCAGCCTCAACACCAGCAACCAACAGCCCCGACCAAGAACCCGCATCCTCCAGCCCTATGTCCACACCACCAGCCACTTCCGACTGCCAGGAAGAAAAGACCCACACAGCCATTGTCGGCGCCATCCTCGGAGGCCTGCTTGGCGGCATCATACTTGGCCTTGTCGTTGCCGTGCGATGGATGTACAAGCGCGAGCGCCGCCAGCGCCGCCTCAAAGAACACTACGAGACGCAAATGTCAAAGACGAATGCCTACCGCAAGGCCCTCGAGGAGACCGTCGGCTCAGCGAGACCCAGTCTCTCTCTCGAACAAGTCGTGTCAAAGTCCTAGTCATGTAGCAGACTAGGATCTGGACGACGACAACGACGAAAGCCCCAGCAAATGCGCTTGACAACTGTTATTATACATGTACAACTCAACCTTTTCCTTTGTCATTTTTTTATTTTTATTTTTTCCTTTTTGTCTCTCTAATTGTTGTTATTATAAAACACGTCTTTCGTCTCTCTTTTCCTATCTTTTCCCATCTTTTTGTTTTCTTTCTCATATTAGCGTCGGTGTTTTTCCTGGTTAGGATGGCTTGGACTAGAAGGCTTGGGGTATGACATGGTGTGGACGAAAGCAAACGAACGTGCAGACAGTATGTGGTGTGTGTGTTGTGGTATTTGGTTTCGGTCCGGCATCGGCTCGGGATAGTAATCCCGACTATTCCCTCACCCCCTCCCCTATGTTTTTTTCCGCATTCGTTTATTTCCCGTTTTGCTTACTTCTAGATCCCACGATTCGCTTTTGTCAGCGAGATTTTGTTCGATATCCCCCTTTTTTTTCCTTTCTTGGTCTGTTGAAACAAACAGTCCTCGACCCTTATGTTTCCTTGATGTATCACATGTCGTTTTGTCCTTTTTTTTTGTAGATTCAAGACTGCTTCACAGCAACTTCACATAGTACACATTGCAGAAATGTAATTTGAAACCAACAAACGAAAAATCAAGATATTCATCAGTCACCCGAAAAGAAAAACTTGCCATGTTAGAACGTCACTGTGATTTGTAATGGCGTTATCGCTGGAGGGGCAGGGTGAGCAGACCTTAAATTAATGGTAATCATCATCCAAAGAAGAGGCTAGCTTGAAGTCAAAAGCCTTCCGTACATTTCCGTAAGCAAAGGCCAGTTGAAGGCCCTTCTGACTCTGCAACGTCTTACATACATACATACATCGAGTAGTCTGCTTACATACCAAGCACTCATCATGCAATATGTATCTAGTGAGCAAAATATAAGATCAAAACAATACGACAGCACCAAAGCCAATGGGGACTCCCTTTTCGTTGCTGGTGGTGGTTTCGTACGAAACCTAGGGTTGGCCCGCTGTGAACACGGTGCTCTTTGCACAAAGTCGGGGAGCCCCGTAGTGAGTGTTAACTAACCAATACTCCAATCGAAGGGGAGAGAAGACCCCTCTTGGGTAGCTATTTGCGAGCTTTGAATGATCGCGACCCAGCGTACTTGAGAAGTAATTGAACACGTTCAGAACAGAGGTAGTGGTGACAAGATGCAGAAGATTGTACAGACAATGTTTTATTCCCTATCCTTAAATATAACAAATGAAATCCTCCTTGAAGCAAGTTCTATCCTAATCATGACCTCATACCAATTGCTACCTGTAACATGGTGCATAACAAGTAGCTCTCTGTGAAGAAGATCCCAACCCAGCAGTGATCTCATACCCATTGCCAATTGGATACCTAAATATCCAATCCTTGATCGCGGCACCTTTCGATGATGCCTTTTCCAATAGGCGCGTCAACATTGCATGTAAGGAGGTTGAAAACGCAAGGGGCTTTCGGGTCCGTTGGTAAACCATTCTCAAATGGGTTGACCAACTGCTGCTTATTGTTCATATCAAAGCAGTCAGTTGGGCCCTTGAGTAGCTCCTCCTGGGTAATTCCGTATTTTGTCGCCAAAAGCTCGGCGAGATCATCCTTGTTCTGTGAATTGTCGTCCGAATCCGCTTGTATCAAAAGGCGTCCATTGAAAGAACCGTCTCCGTTTTCTACGCACATTGTGCCAGGCAATGTGCCGCAGCTTGGAATCTTTGCGATGCGGTATACAAAAATCTTCTGCGCTTGCAGGGCGAGGCCAATTGCGTGGCGGGTGATTGACTCAGTAACGAGGTCTTGGAGATCGCTTTGTGTGAAGTTTTGGCTCACACCTAGGAATCCGCCTCCCTTGATAAGTTCATCTACACATGTGAGTAACTTGTATTCCATTCAAATTGAATGCACAAGGACTTACTGATGCCGTCCGTCGGGTCATCAATCACGGCGTCAAGAGATCTGTCCAATGAATCCGAGATGGAGCGCTGGAAATCGCTCAGGACATCGCTCATTGTTTGTCCAAGGTTGCTCCACGCAAGAAACCTATCAGGTGGGGTGGGTGGGAGAGCACGCCTCAAGGCAACTCCCAGGCCCCCGTTGATAGCGGTTACAGTTGTGGCAACAGCACCAGTCAACGGAATTACGCCCAGGACACTGCTGAACATGAGTCCAATATTCTTCAATGGCGTGATGTCATCTTTAGGATCCGGGTATACATCTGCAACGATCTCTCCCAATCTCAAAGAGATGATTGACGAAGCGAATGTGACGGCGGTATTGAGGCTGTTCATGTAATTGTTGTAGTTCTGGATAGCCAGCGCAGCATACCTGTAAAGCACTAGTTAGTGACTTTATCTTGCATGAAATTTTATAAAACCTTGGATTTCCATGAACAACTCAAGCGGAAAACATACCAAGCAGGTGGTTGAATGGGCAAGCAGGGTTGGCCAGCATTGCAGAATTTGTCGAGACCACAGAAGAAGTTAGGAGCACCGAAGGAAGCGGCTAGGGATTGAACATTGTTGCTCGTCGTCCTGGTGTAGTTCTTCGCAGCCCCCGCAAGGAAATCATCGATTTTAAGGTCGGTCCATGTTTTTGGCTCCAATGCGTCAACACGGCATGAATCCGCACCAACTCCTGTGCCTTGCGGTAAGGCCACTGGAGAAGCGAAGGCTACGCCGGAGAGGTACACCAGAATGGTATTTTTTAGATACATGATTTATGTAAAATCAGTCGAAGCCGAATTGATACAAAAGAATGTAAAAGAATGTAGTTGGTTTTCTTAATGAATGAATGGCGCTTGATGGCGTGGTGCCTTGTCTTCTAGGTATCTTCTAGAGTATATATACAACATTCGATCACCACACCTCAGAATTATGTAAAGACTCGATGCCATTAACGGATGACGCATGTTTTGTCCAAGCCAAGAGTGGAGATACCTGAAACTGCGGAACAGCTATGTTCCCTAAGACGGACCGAAAGCGTTGTAGCAGGTATACAAGAAGAGAACATGAAAGCTACTATTTTTGTATCGCATAAGGTTCGGAGCCTAGTTTCCAAGGCCATTTGAACCTTATCCCGTATCTCGAGACTACACTCCTGGTAACTGGTTATGGTAGTGAAACAGCGACGTAGTGTCGTGAACGATTGGTCTCTCATGCGGGAGCCTTTGCATGCCGGCTTGGCCGAGATGAAAGGACGCATAGGGCTAGAGTTCCCCCAGAGTGTCTTTCTTGGCATGAACTTTTCGTCCGGAGAGAAGTAGAGCTTCATCGCTCCTACACATGTAATCACTCGAGATCTAGACCAGATACCCGAATGTAGCTACGGGCATAGCTGCAGGCATACAAGAGAATTACATCAATTCATGCCACCATAGAATATACATTTATTTTAGGCTCATGATAGCTAACGTGTTTTACTAGCGTGTTGGCCACTCTATCCTGCTCGCTATCTTGACAGTTCTTGGAAGGCGCTCAGCGCATCGGTGAAATCAGAAACTCCAGAGCTACCTTTACTACGAAATATTAACACCACCACATTTCAACTTGAAATAAAAATATGTTCAGATGTATAAAGTAAGTATATGTTTACTTCAACAAAGTGTATGAAGTAAAATATCAATGGTAGCAGTAATCAAGGCTTCAAGCAGGCTCCAGACTTTTGGTGCTGGGCGATCTTATCTCCCTCACTTTCACCATAATGCCTCTTCAGAAAACGAATGAAGGATTGACTTCTACGCCAAGCAATATAACGTCACACCACCCACCCATGCATGTTGTGCCTTCAACGCTCCACCTCCCCCAACTTACCCATGAGTAGCGCATCCACTCTCTCTCCCTTAGCCAAGCTTCCCTCCCCCTTGGGCATACACAACAAAGCGTTTGCCCCCTTGAAACTGCCAATGCGACTGCTCCTCTGGCCTCCTGTGGAACTGGCATACAAAAGCCCATCTTCCTTAGTCACCACCAGCGCACGATGATACTCAGGCCTTCCCTTATCCATCTTGACATCCTCCTCCAGCACTACTTTGACACGCGGTAGCCCCGCAGGTTTGATGCCTGCGTGCTGGTGTAGCGCCGGTAGAACGAAAAGATGGAAACAGACGACTGCTGAAGCAGGGTTACCAGGCAAAGAAAAGATGGCTTTGTTGACGGGGTTGCCGGCGTTATCTTTTACAGGAACCGTCGCAAAGGTGGTTGGTTTGCCAGGTTTCATATTTACACGGCCAAAGTGAATGGTACCGCCGAGGGTGCGCTCGATGGTGGGCTTGAGCAGGTCGAGTTCGCCCATAGAAACGCCGCCCGAGGTAATGATTACATCGCATCTGCGCATCGCATCACGAAGGGTCTGTTCCAGGGTACCTGGTCTAATAAAGAAGACCTTGTTAGCTTTACTAAAGCAGAGATCGGGTGTTGGGGAAGAATGGAAAATACGTGAGAAACGTACTTGTCAGAGACAATGCCGAGATCGATGACCTCAAACCTGTGGCTACGGGCGGCAGTAATTAGTGTAGGGCGGTTCGTATCACGGACCTCCCCTAGTCGTAGTGGGCCTTCCCTGTCGTGTGGAATAATTTCATCTCCCGTGCTTAGAACACCAACAACCGGCCTTCTGTACACTGATACTTCCCGCGTGCCAACAGAGGCAAGGAGTCCAAATTCCCCACCTACAACTGTGACGCCCTCTCCCTTTTTCATGATAGTCTCGCCCTCTTTCACATCGCTACCGACCTCGCGTACATTCTCACCAGGCTGAATCTCATCTGTGAGAATCTCAATTTCCTTTTCCTCTTGGCCGTCATCTGTCAGAGTCTTGAGTGCGGTATCTTCTACCATGATGACAGCATCGGCACCAGGCGGAAGTGGCGCGCCCGTAGTAATTCTCGCAATCTCTCCCTCTTTGAGTTCTTGGACCTCACCAGGCTGGGCGTGTGAGATGATCGAGACTGGGTATACGCCCTTCTCGAACTTGCCCGAAGACGGAATCTTGATAGCGTAACCATCGACGATGCTGGCTCGGAAAGCCGGAACAGATTCAGTCGCCTTGACATCCTCGGCAAGGACGGAGCCGCCTACCTTCATGTTTACAGGAACTTTCTCTACAATAGGAGCTGGCGTCTTCTCTGCAATGAGTTTCAGGGCCTCGTCGACAGCCAGCATGGGATATGGCGAGGACCTGTATCTCTTTGTTGGTCCTGCTGAAGGGTCGTTTGACTGTGGACTTTCTTCTGGCTTTGTATGAGCCCTTGGCCCTACATGACTACCATGTCCATGATGATGATGATGTCCACATCCACCTCCGGTTCCTATAATAGTACATTATTACCAACATGGCTTCTTCAAATTTATGAACGAAATTTGACATACCGGCAGTAGAAGCACTTCCTGGTGAGACACCTGCATCTTTCTCAAGTTTTCTCACGCCTCCAGCGTGGAGCGGTCGTGACTCTGCACCAGCTGCCTGAAGGCATGCATGTGGTAGCAGCTTGAGCACCGCTTCAAGATTCTCTTTGGCGCCTTTTGGCGATCCAGGTAAGGTCAGAATCAAAGTCTGTTTTCGAACTCCAGCAACAGGCCGTGCCATCAGGGCAACTATGAATCATTAGCATGAATTTTGGCCAGAATATGACATTACGGACAAGGTGTGACCGCATACGAGGTCGTAAGCATGCCATGACTAAAAAAGGTGTTAGCACACAGCCAAAACCTCCTCAAACAAATCTACGCACATAAGACCCGGAGCATGTCTGTCAATCAATGGGGTAACTGCCTTTGACTGATCAGTTCTTCGACTTTAGGATGATTCACAATGATGCACATACCTCCGGAGTGACATCTTTCGTGGCAAACCCAGTCCCCCCACTGGTAACAACCAAGTTCACAGGCTCTGGCCCATCAGTCCAAGTCTTAATAGCCTTCTGGATTGCAAGAGCATTGTCAGGTACGATTTCGGTCTCGCTAACATCCCATTGGTTGTTCCCGAGATCGCCGAAGACTTGGTTCAAAGTCGGTATGCATTTATCGGTTGTAGGATCTTGCGAGGCCGTCTCGGAGACGACCAAAATCGCTGCTCTCAACTTGGAATTCGTAGTAGCCATATTACGAGGTGGTAATGTCGAGTCTAAATGAAGTGGAGCTGGTGTGACATCTCACGTTCCTTAACCCAATGCACGGACCACCAACCGTATGTTGAAGGATTACTCAGACGTCAGCTTCACGTTTGCAGGAGTGTTTGGACATATTCTCTTTAGAAAAAACTGGTATTTAACGCCGATGATTGCTCATAGTACACATGCATTATAAAAGCGCCCTCCCCATGTACATCGTACAAACTTCTACAACAATAACTTTCTGTAATGTCCAAGCCAGCTTCCTGTACTGATATGTGGAGCATTTGTTGGCTGGTTGCCTTCAAGCATGATCAAAGATCGACCTGGTGGGGTTTTCTGAAATTTGGCACAAGCCAATAAAATCCCTGTAAGCTCACTCAAAGTCCTTTGCGTTGCTTTGCATCAGCAAACCAATGATAAGCCCAAACAGTCCGAGAATAGCGGCAAAGATTTCAATAGTGAGAATCTTGACGAACCTGATATGAAGTTAGCGAGCAGCTGGAGTCTGCGGATGTGGGTGACTTGCAGTGCAGGATCGGCAGCATCAGCCAGAGCAGCGCTGCTTCCGTTGATGCCAACGCAGACACCGCAGATCAGGTTGCACATGCCGACGGTAAGTCCGGCCCAGAAGAGGGCATATCCGGTAAAGTAGTTTGATCCAGAGTAGAGCAGTTCGGGGTCGGTAAGCTGTGTCATCTTGGAGGAGAAGATGATGGCCATGATGACGCCGTAGATGGCGACAACTTCACAGAAGATGATGGAGATCAAGTTCTTGGTTCGTATCCGGGGTGCCTTGACACCTCCGCCGACGATGGACACGCCAGTTGTCCAGATTCCCCTTTGCGACGGTCAGATGCGAATTGTGTATGGATGTGCTTGCTGCGCGGAGACGTACCATGCGGATCCTACTACAGAGAGACCGATGCACAGCGCGATTCCAAGACTAGCCCAGGTGTACGGTGATACGGTTTCGAGGAAAGCTCCGACCTGGTGCGCAGTTAGCCATGCATGTATGCAACAGTATCGCAGCGCGTTCTCACGTTGAAAGCCTCTCCTTCGCCGTGGAAGAGCATGTCTGGTTGTAGTTAGCTATGCCGTCGCCGTCGCCCCTACGCGCTGCACGTACACAAGGCAACCACACCGAGGGCGGCCGTGGCGCCGCCCGTTCCGTACGTGAGAGACATGTTGGATGTAGAGTAGTCGTAGAGGCGGAGATGGATGTTGGAGGGGGCTGCTTGGAGCTTCGTCGTGATGGACGGGCTCTGAAGCTGGCGATGATGCAGGCGGAACAAGCCGCGGCGCGCTAGCTCCACCGGCTTAGTAACCTCCGCTCCGCGCTCCCAACCCTCCTCGCACCCAAACGTCACCATCCCCAGAACACACCAGTCCGTCGCAAATACCAGCAACATGGCCACCGACAATACAAAGTACTATGAGCTCTACCGCCGAAGCAGGTACGGCTTGCGACCGCAGAGACACCATATCGACTGCATTAGCTAACACGCTGCAGCCTGGGCGGCTCTCTCACAGACACGCTGGATCACCTCATTACTGAACGCCGAATAGAGCCCCAGCTTGCCATGAAGATTCTCGCCAACTTTGACCGGGCTGTGGCCGATGTGCTTTCTGAGAAGGTCAAGGCACGGTTGACATTCAAGGTCGGTTGCGCCTGGACATAGAGCCGAGCCTCGTTATACTGACTTGGGTCGCCTTAGGGACATCTTGACACATACCGCTTCTGCGACGACGTCTGGACCTTCATTATCAAGGACATCAACTTTAAGCTCGATAATACCCACCAGATCCACGCCGACCGCGTAAAGATCGTCAGTTGCAATGCGAAACGTCCTGGTGAAGCATAAAGAGTACCACCCGCGTGTTGATAGAGTCGAGGATACTCAGAGATATACCAGAGTGCAACAAAAATGGCTGCAGTTGGAAATGCACGGGACCCTGGGAATGCGGCGTCACCCAAACTCCAAGTGTCTGCTCATGGGGTTGATCCTCTGGCACATTTTTAATCGGAGTTATGATTTGGACGGGGAAAAACCACGATACCTCTGGCATAATGGGAGTTTGGAGTTTGGCATCTGCAATTGGCGTCTGGACCGACGCCCTCAGAATGGAACAAGCATGAAACATGCGCATATCATATACCCTTCCCTTACTTTCCTGTCTTGAATGCACCATGAACCAGTGTGACTTTGCTATGAGATAGCCTGTGCCCATTCATGCTCTCATCATTCCAGATGCATGTCCCTTTGTGTGTGTGTGAGTGTGCACAAGCTTCATGGCCAGAATCATGTGAAGCTAACAGCTGCGCGCAGCTGCCCCATGTCTTCCAATTAGGCTCGGTACGTAGCGCATCCGTACCTTGCAGATCGCCAACCCTATCTTGATACCAATTAACCCTGCTGTCAACCTATACATTGCTTTGAGCCTCACCCCCACTCCCACTATAGCAGAAAAGGGCGGCCATGTCTGTTCCGAAAACAAGATCAGCATGGCTAGCACTTGCCGTCTCCAGTGGTGCATGTGCAGCCTTCAACGGCGTGTTTGCGAAGCTGTACAGCACCCCCCACGTCGCCGTTATCCACATTGCATACTAACCGCGCTGCAGTACAACAACAACCCTCACAGCCTCATGGTCGAGCTCTATAGCCGTAGCTTTCGGCCTCAGTGCTTCCAATAAAGTCGTCGAATATGCGATTCGAGGGGTCCGTCTCTATCCGCGTCTACGTCTCGGATGAATCCGTTTCAACTGTCTAACGCCACGAGCAGCTCTTCTTTGGCATGAACCTCCTCTTCAACGCCATAATGTGGGGTCTCTTCACACGTGCTCTTACTCTCGCCTCCTCGACCGTACGGGTTAGCATTATCAACACGTCAGCAAATTTCATCATCACCGCTATCCTTAGTTTCATCATCTTCAGCGAGAGCCTCCCCGCGTTGTGGTGGCTCGGCGCAGCAATGCTCGTAGCTGGGAGTGTGATTATTGGAATGAGAGAAGAGACGGAAAAGCAAGGCGTCATGGCTACAACGGGTGAAGCTCCGCTCCTCGATCGTGATGGTGATGCAAATACCGAGGGATTCAGAGACGATGATGAAGACCAGGACCATGTAGAACTGAATAGTGTCAACAATGGAGAGGAGGAGAGCAGCGATGAAGATGGTGTGTTAAAATAGATAGGTGAGCACATCACCATCCCAATGCATAAGCATCATTCGGAGTCTTTTTATTGGAGCTTGGTGATTCCAACGGTACGACTCCTCCCACAATCCATGAGAAGCTGCAGTCCATCAGCTAGATCATTCCCTTATAAGCCTGCACTCCTTCCCTTAAAGTCAGGACAGACCACTCTGGTATATACGTGCCTTCTCCACAACAGTTCCACGCTGCCCTTCTGCAAGACTAGGATACAGCGACCAGCCCCCTACAGACCACTCCTGCACTTGTGTCTCTCTCTGCGAGACCATCGTACGTGGCCAATCCGTTAACCTTAAAAGTAGAAGATGGCGCACAGTAACCCATCCAACATGCTCAACCCTGATGCCCCCGCGTTCTCCCCAAGCTCTATTCCGTCACAGCAAGCCTCTGATCAACATCAATATCGCTTTCAGGTGCTTCAGGAACCATACATATATGAAGGTACCTCGTACTATACCAATCCACCGCAAATACTGCTGCCAACACCATCTCTACAACAATCATCTCAACAACCTCCATCTCAACCACTGCCATCACAGCCACTACCATCGCAAGCCCATGGTTGTCACAATAGTAGCAGTAGTAGCGGCAGCAACCACAGCAATAGTAACGGCAACGGTTATAGCAGTAACGGTTACAGCAGCGGCTACAATAGTCCCTCCCAAATCGGCTCCACCACTCTCCATAACAACCTTTACGCCCACTTCACCACTACCAACCGCACTGTCCCCTTTCACGATTCTCAAACCATTACCCTCTCCTCAAATGGCCACCACTACTTCCCCTTTCACAACCACTATAACTACAAAAACAACCACTACAGCAACAATTCCCCCTCGTATAACCCGTATCCCGTCAACTACTCAAACTTCGGCCCCTTTTCCACTCCGACGAAACAAGTCGGGGGCGTCAACAACGGCTTCCGCAACCAACACAATACCACCAATGGACATGGTGGCATCTGGCAGCAGCAACCGAACAATGACAGGGGGAAAAAGAGCAAGAAGAACAAGAGGAAGAAGCATGGCAAGGGCTGGGGCAAGAAGAATGATGAGGCCAATGGTGATGAGCTTGACACCGACAAGACCAATGGAGATGGTGCTGGCGGAAATCATGCCAATGGAGCTGAGGCAAACGGTGGTGAGACCAATGGCGGCGAGACCAATGATAACGGTACTCTTGACGGTGATACGTCCAACGGATGTGACGGGAAGTCTGAGGAAGAAGAGACCTGAACCGGTCTATTCCACAGTATACTAGCGAACGCGATGGTCTTCATTTCGGCTCCTTACAGTCACCTCATTACTACCACTCTCACCCGACAAAAAGCCTTCCGGGACCGATTGTAATATGTAGCTAAAGCTGCAATCACCGCTTGTCTCATTCTTCTGGGCTGGTGGTGCAACTCCAAAACACAAAAAAAAGGATTTGGTTTCTGTAGTTGTTTCCCGTTCTTCTTTCCTCTGTCATTTTATACGAAGTGTTACATCATGGAGAGCTTGGGACGAAGACATTCTCCATCAGATGATCTGATGTAGTTTTCTTTGTTTGCTTTTTGCTTCAATTCGCGCCCACTGTATAGCTATTCATTAGCACTTACTAGCTCCCTCCCGCCTACACTTAATGCAGACGTCTCAACGCTTCAATCAATCCCTTTACTTCTTCCAGCTCCACTCCTAAACCATCAATTGCCTTGCTCTGCACTTCTTCGCTCACATCCAAGAACCGCTCAATCAGCTCTCCATCGACAAACCGCATGGGCTCTTCTTCTTCACGCACTGAGTTCTTGAACGCACGGAACTTGGCGAATTGCATGTCACCGGGTGCGGCAACGAGAGAACCAAGGTTGGCCTGCAGCGTCATGAGGAGATTCTGGTAGTCTGGTGATATGAGGCCAAAGAGGTAAATTGAGCCTTCGACCTGTGCGAATTGGAGTGGTCAATAAATCTGTTAACCAATAAGAGGCAAGTTATACTTACAGTTCCGACAAAAGCCTTTGGCACAATGACTGCGTCCGCGGCAGTCAAAACATCTATCCTGCGTATCCGATTCACCATCTCGCCGAGTAGCATCTCGGAGCTGATATTCAGCCTTCTCTTGTCATCATCGGTGACACCGTTTGGATCGCGGTACAAAACGATTAGGTTACCTTCTGCATCGCTTTCAAGATACATATTCGTATCTACCTCTGCCACGGCTGTCGCCCATGTAATCTGGTAATGTCGCGCAATTTCCACGAGCTTATCGGGAAGACCCGTTTCGCCCTTTGTGTATTCGACTACGACAAGTGACTTCATGAGATCCGCTATCGCGATCAAGGAGCCGTTCACTGTGACGTCTATTGGGGCTGTTGAACATCGGAATGATACAAGTTTGACGAGATCAGGTGTGCTGGGAGTTCGGTATTCAAAATCATACACGATGATTGTCTTTATGAGCGCAGCAACAATCTTGCCTTGGCATATAGCTAGGCACCTGCATCCGCCTTTTACGGCAATCTCGGTGACGAGCTTGAGTATGCGCTCGGGTGTGACTTCCAAGACGATAATACGACCCCGTTCAGATGTCGTGTTCTGATCATCAATGTATGCGGTACCGACAACAAAGCGCTCTGCTAGCCCACCAGAGCCGTCTGGTAGCTCGCAACGCATGACGCATTCGACCAGCTCTTCTTCGTTGAGCGCATATGTGTCGAGTTCTTTGAATTGTATTTCGTCGACAAGCTTGAAGTGGCTCAGCATAATCTCCTCTCCATGCTTCAGTATGCGCTTTATCGTGCCAAGACCAAAGGCTTTCAGATTCGGTGAGTAGGCTATCCGCCGTACCGTCTCATCAACCTTGAGTGTTTGTACGTGGGTAGTTCTTTCGGTGTCTACAAGCGCAATGCGGAGGTCTTGAGATGTGGCGATCGCAACGGAACCAAGGTATGCTTCTGAATCGAACGGGCAGACTGTTGTCGCTTTTTCGGCGGTGACAGCAGAGTATACAAGGCGGCCTTCTGACGCGTAGATCAGAGAGGGATGTTCACATGTCGCAAACACGTTAAAGAGACCATCGCCTCGTGGTAGAGCGCGGAAGGTAGCTTCGCGTGTTCCAAGCACGATACTCTTCCTTCCGGAAAGCTCGTGGTTTGACGGGTCAAATGTGTATGTGACAACATTTCCATCAGCCAAAGCAACAAAAAGTGATGGTGGTTGATCAGGGAATATCTGTGTAAGGAGCAATGAGCGCGGAACAGAGTCGTCGGATATTTGAACAGTTTTTACGGCCTCAAGAGTATCGAGTGAGCATATGGCAAGCTGTGAGTTGTTCCAGAAGCCAACAAAACAAGTGGAGCTGGTTCCAGAGGGCAAGGTAACGCAAGCAACCTGGCTCTCAGCGCCAAACGTCTTCTCTTTAACCACCTGTAACCCGTCGGCCATGCTCAGGGAGACTATGGTGACGCCACCCAGTGATACCAGAACATGGGTCTCGTTGACTGAGGCGGCAGTGATCGTCTTGCCGTCTGTTGGCACCCATTCCGATGTGATCATGCCACCGTCCAGATCACAGATTCGAGCACGGCCATTGGTGACTTGGACGATGCGGCCTTGTGGAATATTCGCTGCAGCCAGTGTTGTCTCATCGAGGGCGAGCGAGACAAACTCGTCCACTTCCTCGACTTCGCCCTGGGAATCAAATCGGAAAACGCGCGATTCGCCCACAAAGCTCACCAACAGTGTATCTATGTACTGAGCAGAAGCAGCTGACTTTAAGCTGAATAGCTCAGAAATGTGCTCCATCTCGCCCAATACACCAAGGTCTTCCAGGCCAACGCCACTTCTAACGCTTCGGAGACTACCGTCTTGATAGGCACCACTGCCGGTCACTATTCGTGCTTGGCCAGAGGAGTATTCGTTGGTTTGACCCTCGCCAGATCTGTTGCCCATATCCATTATAGTAAAATCAAGAATGGGAGCAATATTGGAAAAGGTTTGGACAATCTCCATTGATTTCTCGGCAATTCGGATGACTTGCGAGTCGCCTTGGTGTGAGCCCACGAATACGTAGCCAGCGTCTAGGTAAACCAGGGTCGATGCACGGGACGTCTGGCCGATAACATCAAGTTTCCATGATTGTACCCTCCCTTGTGCGCTTAGGACTAGCATGAACATGTAGAGACGACCATAGTCGTCGGCGAGGACGAAACGCTGGGCGTCGATGCGCTCCCAAGCCACAAAGATGGTCGCTTCATCAAGCGGCTCTGTTTGCAACTCTCCGCTCCCGTCATCAAAGTATCCGATCGATGTCTCTCCAATGACTACCAGGCCATGCGATGGTTCCTCAAGAGGGATCAAGTGGCTTGAACCAAGTTCCAGCTCGCTCTTGCAGGTTTCTCCCTCTTGCAGGTCGACCTCATCACCGGCATATGTCAATTCTCGTAATCTCAGCTTGACTTGGGCATGTGTATCTTCGTAAAGTAGAGCCATCTTGGGCTTATCGTCTGTGGATCGCGGGCGTAGGAAAGCGGATGAGCGGACAAACATTTCAGGCAATCGAACCGGCTGAGGATCGCCCAGATGGGCAATGTCCGCCTCTTGCTTTCTCTTCTTTCCTCTCTGGACCAATGGTATGACTGTGAGGATGCCCTCGTAGACCTCGATAGTCATGAAGCGGCCAGTGGGATCAATGTGACATCTCTCGCCCGTTTGCGACTCTCTGGCCGCATTATCGGCGACGCTCGCAAACGACTTCTCAGTCTGGAGCTGTTTCTTTTCGGCGTTCCATGACAGGGTAAAATACATGAAGCGGTCGGTGCCAACAAAGAGGTGGTCGGTGGGAGATAGTGCTGGTCGCAGCTTCTGGAGCATGGTGACTTTGCCATAGATGGCCTTTGAATGTTTCAGGACCAATCCATCTGCCTCGTGTGTATAGAATTCGAGCCGATTTGACTTTCTACCATGATTTTAGCCTCTATCTGCTGCTCTCTCTACATATAGTACTTACGCGACCACCAGGCAGTCGTCTTCGGGAGCCAGGAAGTTGAGCTTTAGGGCATGCCTGACGCTGCTTGGCCGGTGAATGGGGGCGATATAGGCCATGGTGATGGCGATGTCTAGAAATGCTCCGAAGCCTGTGGGTGGCTCAAAGACTTTAAGTTGGAATTGTCACTGTTGACAGACCTGGGGATGATCGGATGCATTCCGTCATGCAGCTGCACGGGCCGCGGCTCCACGCGACTTCGCGTTGCGGGGCGGAGCGAACTTTTGGTTCTTTTGGAACTTTTTGGCTCCGGCGCGCACTTGTCTTAGCAATTTCTCGCCATACACACACAATGGCTCGTAAGACCAGCCTCTGTCTATAAAAAATCAAGAAGCGTCAACCTTGCTAACTTGACGGGCGGATTCCAGCAGCCATGGACGTAGAAGACGACGACCCAGTTGTAGCCGAGTACGATGTCTACATCACGCCTGATGTAGCTGAGCAGCAGCTCTATGTCCTTCAGTACTTGAATCGCCCCCCGGACCAGCCCTTCACTAAGGCGACTGAAAGCCAGCCGACCGAGCTGCGCATAAAAAAAGACTCTGGCTTCATCGAGGTCGATGTGCCCATCAACATCCACCGCAACTACAACCGCCTCGCCGGTGTGCGATGGGGTGAAGCCATGCGCAAGACCAAGGGTTTTGGACAAAAGGCTTTTGGTATCGCCTCTGGTTTTGAGCGCACCATGCCGCGCAGTGCGAACCGGCCTGGAGCTGCTGGCGAGGGAGCACCCGTAGCACCCGTTACCGCCGACGATGACGATAACATCGAGGAGTATGTGACTCACTTTGAGGATGCCAACGAGAAGGGGCACGTCCTCAACACACAGACTTTTGGAGGTCAGATTCTGCACGAGGACGGCAAGGGCCCTAGCTACATGCTCGGCACGTTTCGTGACAGTAAGTAATCGCAACCTGGATTGCGCCGTCGACCCTCCGCTAATCTTTGGCAGATGAACTCCACCTCACACGCATTGACGGCCTCGTACAACTCCGAACACAATTTCACCACATTGACGCCTCTGCGCAGCTAGAGGCCGTTCAGCGCCGGCGCGAAAAAGAGTCACAAGAGGGCGCAAAGCTTGCAGAGCCAAAAGCCTTTCTCGCCCAGGTCAAAAAGACCGGTGGCGACACGGCTGCCGAGCTGACGCAAGCTTTTATGAAGGCGACAAACCAGGAACAATGGCAAAGACTAAATTACTTTGACGAAAATGTAAGTTTTCTAGTGCAAGACAGCTCTGCATAGCAACTAACGTCTTTGTAGGATGAGAGAGCCTTTGAATCGTATCACGAGCGACTCTTCATACAAGACGTCGCATCCGCGCCCAAGTTACAGGCCAAAATTGACAATAGCGGCTTTCTCGATACCATCAGTACAAGCGGCAAAGGAGGCAAAAAGAAGTCTAGGCGCAGTATTCAAGACCTGGTTGAAATCTCCGACGAGTCCGATGAAGACGAAGAAGAAAAAGAAGCTGCAGAGGCCAAAGAAAGTTGAAGTGAATGAATTCCAATGCGCATGGCGAATAGCATAAGCTCTACTTTGTCACACTCACACACACACACACTTACTAGATACCCCCAAAATATCATGACGAATATCAGTAGTACCATCAGAGCCTTGCTACTTCAGCATCGCTCAAACACACGATACAGGCCCTTCAAGTTTGCGACTTCAATGACCCCGCCCTTGAGCATCCCTTTCGTCCCCACCAGCCGTCCCTTGCATGCCGGAAAGATGGTATACTCGATCGCTTGGAGTACGTTCTTGCGTCTCGTAGCAGTTTCCTCGTCTTCATCCTCCTGCGCCTTGCCTTTACCCTTTCCGTTCTTGTCACCATCCTCTTTACCGTCAGTCTCGGCCTCAGATGCAAACGGCAAGCTCTCTGGCACATAAAACGACGCCAACTCCCTTAGTAGCGTCTGAAAGCACGCCTTTTCCTCCTCCCAATTGACATGAGGGCCCAGACGAAGCAGAAATTGCGGGAGTTTGCCCATGCACGGCGTGTAATCCTTTAGCAAAAGCGGGATTGAACAGAGCTCTCCCTGTGGAGTAATATCAATGGCAAAGTACTCGCTCAACAGCGCCGCCTTGTTGATAAGCTGCTCCCTGACCACCTCGACAACTTGATCCCAATCTACTTCGCTCCCTGAGTCGCCCGCCTTGCTCTTTTCCTGCTGCGCTGCTATCTTGAGCAGCTCGTCTAGCGACAAAGGCGGATCAAACCGTATGTATCCGTAATTAGCAAAGTCCGTTAGACCAATCTGATAGAAGAGTTCGTTGCACAACATGCCGTAATCGATCAAGAAAAGCTTGACTCCTCCTTGGATAGCTGCAATGCGTTTTTGCTCGTCGACAATGCCGACAAATGTGTGTGTTGAGATGATATCAGTGAGCTCCGTGTGCATTGCGTCGCGTACTTCTGCGCGCAGTTCTTTGATGGAGGTTAGACGACATGCTACTGGTGTTCTTTCTGTGAGTTCGTACTCCATCTCACTCTCTTCGTCTAAAGCATCGTCCACTGATCGTTCGGGCTGCAGCATAGATGTGATTTTGCGGATCGAAGTATCTGTTCGAACTAGGTTGTTTTCGTTTCGTTTCCTGGTCGATGTCTGTGGTGCTCTCGAGGCACTTCGGTCTGATGCATCGCCCTTACTAGGAGTCATGGGTAGAGTCGGTTTCAGGGGCGTTGAGAGCGGAACTTTAGGATTTGCCAGCAGTGACTGTGTTGCAAAGGATCGGCTGGTGTCGACCTTGCTGAGATTGTCACGGATTGAATCGCAGATCATAGCGATAATCTCGTCTTCATTCAGGAAATGCACCTCCCGCTTTGTAGGATGTACGTTGACATCAACTCGTTGCGGCTCAATCTCGAGACTGAGATAGAAGAATGGATGCCCTCCTTTGGGTAGAAACATTGCATATGTCTGCTCGACGCTTTTCCTGATCACTTGAGATTCAACTGAACGGTGGTTGATGAAGAGCAACATCTGCGTCTTCTTCGCGCTGTAGTTTGCATTGCTGATCCAGCCATCGCACTTGAACCCCCAGCGATCATCTTCAACGTTCAAAGCCACCAAGTCGTTGGCGGCACTGATACCATGAATTTGCCGTATGCGGTCTTTTACTGTAGCAGATGCAGGTACTGTCACGCTGCTTCCCGAAGTTTCATTGGCCTTTTTGCAAGAAAATGCAACTCCTTGGCAATGCACAGCATAACGTCCGACAAGTTCAAGTATCTTGGCATACTCTTCACTGGCTGAACGAAAAGCGCGACGCCGAGAGGGAACATTGTAGAACAAATCCTCAACCTACCATCACATGAGTTCCGCCGCCCAAATCTGATTCTGTTTTGACATACCGTAATGGTGGTACCCTGCCGTCCTGCCTTGGGTTTTGGTTCTGCGCTCTGGCCCGGTTTTGGACTGGTGAGTTTGCCGTCTGCAAAATGAGCCTCCCAAGCACAACTTGACTCTTTGGTCCTCGTAGTGACTTTGAGGTGGGCAATGTGGCTGATACTCGCCAGCGCCTCGCCACGGAAGCCATACGTGCCGATTGAGGTTAGGTCCTCAAAGGCCTTGAGCTTGGAAGTAGTAAAACGCTCGCACAAGATTGGTAAATCTTCTTTCTGGGATAATTAGAATACGGTGTTGCCGTGACAAGTCAAACATACGTCAATGCCATGTCCGTTGTCGGTAATCTGCAGTAGCTTGAGACCGCCATCTTTCACCAAGATTTCTAGTGCAGTCGATCCCGCATCCACAGCATTTTCAATCAGCTCTTTCAAAGCATGCACAGGCGCGACGATGATTTCTCCTGCAGCAATCTTGTTGACGACGTCCTGCGAAAGTGCCTTGATCCTGCGTGGCGCAGGAAGTGAAAGGCTATCGTCGCCTTTGCGTTTAGTTCCACGTGGCGATGATTGTAAAGTATCCATTTCGTCCGCCATATTTGCGAGCTGGCAGGTAGAGAGAGACGTATCCTGTGAAGGTAATAATGATGATGGCATAAGTAAGATAGACTAAACGGAAGGCGCGATACTTACGTGAAGCGCCCCACTTTCGCGCGCTCACGTGCCAGCGTACGTACTACCCTCTCTTGACGCAACGCCTCTCTTCTTGTAACCATCTTCATGGCCTGTATTCAGTCTTCGATCGCGAAAAGCGAACATGGGCGCCAGTGAAAGGATAGCATGTCAAATCACGCTAATGAGCTTCTCCAATGATTAATCACCAACCCTCTATCGCCACAGTGACATGCTCAAGCAGACACGCGCACTGCAAGTCATTTGCGCGGAACAGCTTGGTCTTTATTTCGAAACTACTGCTTGCTTACATTTGATTTCATCATTCTAAGAACTATTCTGTGTTGACCATGGCGCCTCCATCATACGCCCGCGCTACGGCCTCGTCCACCTCAAAAGCCAGCCCAAAGTCATCCAGAACCACCCGAGACCCAGAAGTGGTAAAATCGACTCCATCACCTAGCTCCAGGAAATTGACAGAATCGCGTGGAAAAGACAACTCTACTATGATATTGTCGAGTCCAAAGACACCAACCAGACTGAGCAAAGCCAACAACTCCACTCCAACACCCCAGGAAAAGAAGAAGGCCCTCAAACGCCCCTCGACGCTCACATCCCACCAAAAAGACACCATACATTACAAATGCGACCTCTACCACATCACCCCAAAAGACGCTTCAAAGCCCTGTTTCCTATCCCTTCTCCCCTCCGAACTCCGCACCCAAATCTACACCTATATCCTCCCCTCAACCCATTACATCTCGCCCTCATGGCCCTCCTTAAGCAAACCCAAGCACCCCACCATCCCACCCCTCCTCCACATCAGCCGCGCCATCCGCATCGAAGCAGCATACACCTACTACACAACCACAACCTTCCACTTCACCGTCCGCAACCTCGATTTCTCACCCGTAACACGCTGGCTCGAGGACCTAGCACCCCAGCACCGCGCATTACTCCCCCGGAACCATCGCGGTCTGGAAATTAACGTCATCCCCACTGTCAAAAGCACGTTTACGTATCCGCCCAAAGGATGGCTGCTAGATGCAGATATGGAGCGGCACTGGCGGGCATGCCAGCCCTTTGGCAATATCTACACGGTGCACGGCGAGGCGCACAAGTTACATTTTGTGGTTTTTTGTCGACTGGCCAAGTGGTGGCGGTGGTGGGGGGCGCTGCAGCTAAAAGGGGAGGTCAAGTGCAACTATGCGTTTGAGCAGAGTCCGTTTGCGAATCCGTTTGGTATCCCGGATTTTCTGGATGAGGTGGTGCTGAGGCAGTTTTTGAGGCACCATGGGTGTGCGGTTGGTATGGCGTGTGTGGAGAAGGCGTGGAGGAGGAATCGGATGGCTGCGGCGGGGATGAAGGGGGAGGGGGTTAAGTTTTTGGAGGCGTTGGATAGGTGGTATAAGGATAGGTGGGGGGAGCAGGAGAGTGCAAATGAGTGGAATTTGAGGATGGAAGAGGCAAAGAAGGCTGTTGGGAGGTGGTAGTTGGGAGATGCTCGTCTGCAATCTCTCGACATATTCTTCTTGAACATATTGGGATTCCATTGAATATCACCGGCTGTGACAGGATAATGATCAGCCTCATTTTAGTACAAGTACTCGCCCCTCCTTTGGAATCTGAATAACCCAACAAACTAGTATAACCCGTCCAAACGCCTACGAAACGCCGGTAGCTGCCTTGGGTATCGCATCCTCATTCTCCTCCCATCAAAGACTCACAAAATCTAACGCTGCCGAAGGAACGACGGCTCAAAGCCATAAATCGGGTTCCCAAGCTATTATGACCATTGTTAGCATTTCTTCTTTCCCCATAGCACCTCCCCATATCACTACTAGTGAAGAGGGAGAAAGAAGAAGAAGAAAAGAAAAAAAAAGCAAACTTACCCGTTGCAGCGCAAACACAACATCAGTAACCGCCACCGTCTGCCTGCCACTACTATCAATAATAGCGCAAATGTCTTTTAGAATCTAAGAAGAAAACGTATTATTAGCAAAAAAAAACGACACATACACGTAAAATGCATGTCGTAAAAAGCAAAGCACACATACCCGTGCCAACCGCTCGCGCAGCGCCTGACGAATATCCGAGTACACTATAGCAGAGATGCGCTTAACGCCACCACGGCGCGCTAGTCGTCTATCATAAGATATCGTTAGCAAAAATCCCCTAACATCACCTATAAAAAAAAGCGCGGTCCCTTAAATTACGCGAATACGTACCTGATATCGCCCTTTGTAATGCCGTGAATGCTGTCTCTTTGGACTTTCCTGTGCAGTTCCCCACTTCTATTAGCTCTCTCTATGCGCAACACAACATGCGTAGTTTTTACTAAGCAACAAGGCTGAGTAATTATTTATTTATTTTGGACATACATGTGACGTTTCATGGGTCCTTTGGGACGCCCAAGCGCGCTCTTTCCCAGGCCGCCGGCGCCCCGACCGAGGCCGAGGCCGAGCTGCGTGGCTCTTGATGGTGCCGACGACGCAGGGGGTTGTGGGCGGGGTGTTGACGATACGCCGGTATAGCGTGGTATAGCGCTATACTGATTGGGCCTTTGTGAAGACATGGTTGCTGGTAAAGAAAGGATAGTTAGGAGTTAGGTGTAAAAGAGATGGAGAACGAGGGGTGTTGTGGTTCTTGGTGAAAGGGCTACGCGCGCCCAACGCGTTTGGTTGGGGGGACGCGCTATCAGGTGAGAGATGGTGAGGGGAGGAAGTGAAATGGAAGCAGAGTGTGGGGTATCGATAGCGAAGGCTGCATACTACGCCGCAGATACGGGGAATGCAAATGCAGGGCAAGCCGTGCTGTACCGCAACCAAGCTCGCCAAGGCGGGGAAAGGGCCAGATGCCAAACTGCACATGCATGGTAGATAAAGCAAAAGCAAAAGTACCTGATGCAACGCGACTTCTTGAGCGTGACAAACGTTATTCATTAATCAACCAGGTCCTAGTCCTAGTATATTACTACTACGTGGGTATCAAGGATAGCCGAGGGTCGTCATATCCAAAACCTCGAGAGCCCAGCTACGAGATGAAGGTGGCCTCCGTGGAAAGTGTGCCCTCCTCTTCCTTGACCTCATCGCCCACCTTTACCTTGATGGTCATCTTGGGCGCATATTGGTAGATATATGGCTTAGTGCCTGCTGCACTGGCAACGATGGTCTTGATAAAGCCCGGCACCTCGGCCATGACGTCAATGCGGTCAATTATCTCGCCCAGAGGGCCTGCGATGTCTGCGGTGACGTCCTTTCCATCCTCCGTCTTTCCTACCCAGTGGTAGCTTGCTGCGGTCGGCGCTTGCCAGCCAGTCTCGTCTTGCTTGGTCTCGGTGTGCTTCACGTCGCCTTCGGTGTTTGCAAAGAGGAGCTTGCCATCGGTGGCAATACCGGCGACTCGGACGATTGTTGAGGCGTATGAGGCCGGGGTTGTGAACTCCATGAGAATAGCGGAGTATGAGGGGGACTGGAAGTTGACAAAGTTCCAGCGGGCAGCTAGATGTGTTTAGTAGGGGGCATGTATAAATTGTGCACGATACTTACCAGCGTGGTGGGGCTTCATTCCCTGGAGAGCATGGCTCAGCATGCCACGGCCCTTGATGTCGACTGGGCCCTCTTTGGTGTGAATGGCGCCCTCGACGCTGCACCGGGGCCAGAAGTGGTGGTGCATGGACCCCCATGGCTCCTTGGGATTGGTACCGTAATTGGTGGTTCCGTCCTTTCCGCCCATAAATCCAGGCGCGGTCCTGGTGAACGTCACATCTACCATGCAGTCCTTACGGACAGCCGCCTTGATGGTGTACTTGGTGCCATCCTCGGAGAGCTCAATGGAGACGCCATCGGCGAAGAAAGAGTGCTGCTTCTCGTCGAAGCCGTAGTTGTAGACAGGGTCGCTTGCCCAGAGGAAGGGCTTCTCGTTGCCAGGGAAGAAGAGCTTGCAGTTGAACTGCACGGTCACACGCAGGCCACTATTTCGAGTAAGCACAGAAGCGAGGCGGGTGTACAGGGCGGGCCAACGCACGCAATGTTGTTGTAGATGACCTGCAGGAAGCCCTGGTGGCCGGCGTCGCTGAAGATGTAGAAGGTCTGTGTCTCGACATTGGTGTAGTCGAGGGTGGACCACTTGAGGTGATCCTTGGTGAGCTCGGTGTAGGCAGGCTCGTCGCCCTTCTTGCCCACGGGCTGGATGGCCTCAGGGCCGTACTCGGGCTCCTGGGTACCGGCAACGGCGGCTAGCCTGCATCCGTCAGTCGGCGTACTCGAGTGCAGTGCAGTGCAGCACCCAGCCCAGCACCCGGGTATCCCTCGTCACTCACGTTGACTTTGCCCAACTGAACATTTTGGGGCACGGCGATGCACAGCACTATTATGCAACGGGGCGTGCGAGGCTCAGTCTTGATTGGGCGGCGACAGGGGAGAAAATCTCTGTAAAGACTTGTTCAACAGGGTCGGGAGCTAGGATGTCCAAGGCAAAGGGAATGGGAAGAAGAGCACGGCAGGGCGTGCAAGGTCGAGACCAACGGGGTGGAGCAGGCTGATGTGTCGTGGGGGGGACGGGAGGGCGCAGAGGATTGAGTGTATGTGGCAGCAGGGGAAGGGGAGAGGAGAAGGTGTTGCTCTGCTGGGGACTTGTGCCTGCACGAGACGAGAGTGGCTAACCATGGATTGGGGCCAGCAGAGGCGGTGGATGGCAAAGGCAAAGGGTCGAGGCTTAGCCGCAGCCTCCCGATGTTCCTTCGTAGACGGATGGGACAAGCCGCGCCAGGTGCAGCTGCAGCTGCTATCCACAACCCCTCTGAAGATCATTTCTCGCCGCTTTTCCGCCGCCCGGCCTCTGCGACTGCAACTACTTACATAGACACGCTGGTACCACCACCACCGCCGCCGCCGCCCAGCATCATCCCCATCGCCATCACCACAACAACCACGCCCACGCCCACGGCCCCGGTCTCCCTCTCGTCTGCCTGTGCTGACTCCGAGCTTCCCGCACCATTGCGGACGAATTGGCGCTGCCCATTCGACGACTAGCGCGGGGCTCCATCCATCTGCATCCACTTATCCTAGCTGCCCATGACGAACCTCGATGCTCTGTAGCCAGGCACACGACCAGCCCACCCGTTCCTCCTCCTCCGCTTCTCTTGTCCGGCCCATTCAACCCTCCAGCGCGCCCGCCTGACGGACTTTTGTAGCGACCGACGAGCGAGCTTCCATCGCAGAGTCGCCCTCCTCGCCCCCAAGTAAGCGCAAGCTCTCCCTCGTGTGCGTTCGCGCTTTCCGTCATGGCCTAGGCTAACGTAGCTGCCAGTTTCTGACAGAACTCTCTTCTGTCACGCAAAACTCATCATGACGTCTACTCCCCCCGCCCAGTCTGTCCGCTTCAGCGAGGTTCACGAGGAAATTGAGCCTGCCCAGGCCGTGCGAGATGTTGCCGACCTCACTAGCCCCGCCAAAGAGCCCCAGCATGGCCCATTGAGCCCCCAAGCCGAAGAAGAGCTACGTAACCTATCGTCAACTCTGCAGAAGTCTCGCATGCAGGCCAAGCGCATGGAGAACTTCTCATTTGAGCCCGTCTCGCTTCCACCCTCCCGCGTAAGCAAACTCGACCATCACAGGCCGCAATTAGCGCCCATCCAGCTAACACTCCGCAGGCACCTTCACCCAGCCCAGCCTCGCGAACAATTTCAGGACACTCTGCACATCGCTCTTCCATAGCATCTTCGCCTGCCTCCGCCATGCACTCTCCACCATTGACACCTGCAGGAACATCGTCCCGGGATGAAAAACCAGTCGGCCCAGGACACAGCAAGCATCCAAGCGACCCCGCCCTCATGACACCGCAAATCTCACCTCCCCATGAGCCTCCACCAACCTCCATGGATTCGTCTCTCCAGAGCCAGAATGAAAGCCAGTCTTCGTTGGCAGTTCCCGGATCGCCAAGAACCGCACCGCAGTCCCCACGACCATCCTCAGACTTGCCTGCCGTAGTCGAACCCCATCCAAAACGCAATCCAGTGTTTGCCATAGGCCCTACTGGTGATTCTAACCCAACTTCCCGGGACGCCAGTCCTGCCGGATCTGGTGGTGATCGCACGCCAGGCACATCCTCTCCGGCACCTGGTAGCCGGCCATATACACCACAAGGAGAGAAGGAAGATACCTACACTCGCTCCAAACGGGCGGCACAGGCGAGAAATCTCGACTCACTAGAAGCCCGCTACATCTACGGCGGTCGTGACGGACGCAGTTCAGCAGCATCGTCAGTGTATCAATTGCCACGCTCCAAGGGCACTGATTCTGATAAGGAAGACGGCAAGCGGTCGAGCCTATTCGGAAAGAGATCCATCAAGGGCCACGGCTCCGATGCAGAAGATGTCAAGTCGCCGACCGGTAAACACCATGGATCGATGGCTGAACTCAAACGCTTCTTCAAGATTGGACACAAGAACAAGGATAAGGACAAGGACAAGGAGAAACGCGGAAAGTCTCCTGCACCATCGATCAGGAGTCAGAAGATCAAGTCCACCAAATCCAATACCATGACACCACCCATGACAAACGGATCGATACATGTCCCCTTTGCAGATGACCACGGCCTGCAAAGCAAGTACGGAAAGTTTGGCAAAGTGCTCGGATCCGGTGCTGGTGGCTCGGTTCGGCTTATGAAGCGAAGTAGCGATGGCACAACGTTTGCCGTCAAGCAGTTCCGTAACCGTCATTCGTACGAATCCGAAAAAGATTACAACAAAAAGGTTACTGCCGAGTTCTGCATAGGATCAACACTCCACCACGGGAACATTATCGAGACCATGGACTTGGTGAATGAAAAGGGAAGCTACTTTGTCGTCATGGAATACGCACCCTTTGATCTTTTCGCAATAGTAATGACTGGAAAGATGAGTCGCGAAGAGGTTGCCTGTGCCACACTACAGATTCTCAATGGAGTCACATATCTCCATAGCATGGGCTTGGCTCACCGTGATTTGAAGCTTGACAATGTCGTTGTCAACGAACACGGAATCATGAAGATTATTGATTTTGGTAGTGCCGCCGTCTTCAAATACCCATTTGAGGACGAAATCGTTCTCGCCAGTGGTATGTAGCACGATACGTTATACCAGCGGCATTTCTAACTTTTTCTCAGGCATCGTCGGCTCAGATCCTTACCTTGCACCTGAAGTGTATGATCTGTCCAAGTACGACCCACAACCTACCGATATCTGGTCACTTGCTATCATGTTCTGTTGTATGACATTACGCCGGTTCCCATGGAAAGCGCCGCGGATATCCGACAACTCGTACAAACTCTTTGTCTCACCTCCCAACGACGGGCCAAGGTCGATCACCGGACCCTCCAAGTCGGCTACGGATCTTGAGAGTACTGCACGTGACGAACGCCGGCAATCTGGGCTCGGCTCTGATTCTACCACTCGGCATCAATCCTCGGAACATCCTTCGACTGAGCCACGCGCATCGACGTCATCGAATGGCCAGCAGCCGCCGCAGGTAATCAAAGGCCCTTGGCGTCTCCTGCGTTTGTTGCCTAGGGAGAGCAGACACATTATAGGCCGTATGCTGGAAGTCGACCCCAAGAAACGAGCAACGCTAGACGAGATACTCGAAGACAAGTGGGTCATCAACAGCGAAGTGTGCTCGCAAGAAGAGGGGGGCAGGATAATACGAGCGGGAAACCATGAGCATACGCTTGAGCCTGGAGCCGGAGGATCTTCCGCCCCCAATACACAGCAGCAGTCGAAGAAGTAAGAGAGGAGCAAGGGCGATACCTCATGGAGGGGGGGGGGGGGAATTGGTAGATAAGTGGTGAGGACGGTTAATATTGGGGTATTTTTTGGATGATTAGCAGGTGGGTGTTTGAGCAAAGGTGGTTGTTGTTATTGTTGTCGTTTGCATGATGCCAAATATTCCCATGCCCGAACTAGAGAGGACGTTCCTTGTCGTGTTTTTCTTCAGCTGCGTGTACGCGCGCGGAATATTTCCTTTTTTTTCCTTTTTTTCCTAGCAAATTTTTAGACGTTACGACAGCAAAGAGAACGATATATAAATATACTTGATACAAATGCAAAGAGGGGAAGAATGGGTAGGAAGGGAATCGGGGCTTGTAGAGTATGAAAGACCAAAGCAAGAGAGTTCATAGGAAAAGAAGGGAGATATAGTAGGGTAATAAAAAAGCATTGCAATGACCAAGGTGTACCCTCATGCATGATGATAGTAGTGGCAGGTAAACTACCAAGCTAGTTTATCCGCATGACATGTTATGGGTTGGGGGTGTCAAGTACACGTGAACCTTCCCCCCCCCCCCCCGTTGTCCGTCTATGCAAAACCCGTGGGGCGGCGCGGCGCGGCAGAAGAGAAGAAGGGAAGAGGGGAGGTGGGTAGGTGGGTGGGTTAATGTGGGCATTTCACGCAAGCATGCACGGCGATGTAAAGCCGACAGAAAGGGATGTGAAGCAGAAAGGAAGACTCCGTGTCACGATCGGGGAAAAAAAAATCAGCATTGAGGGCATCTTCTTCGTCAGCAATGACAACAATAACAACAACAATAACGCGCAATCTATGTGTTCATGGTAGTTTTTGTGACTAAAAGTCCATGTACCATGTTACGATTGTTCAGACCCTTACTAGTTCGTGCTGGCTTTTATGAGCCCTGCCTGCCCACGTTCCTTTTCGCATACTCCCTAACGCCGCCCCCCCAGACAAACACGGGCGTGCCAAGCCCAAAGGAGGAGAAGTCGTCCAAAGGGTAAAAAGGGTAAAAGAAGACAGGGAGAAAGACCTAATACGGTGCTTCACAAGCGCTGAAACACGAAACATTTTGATCGCGCCTTTTTCGGGGTCACCGCCAAGCCATCTGGTTTCGTAACCCGCGCCTGGTACGTACTTCATGTTACCCCGTCCTGTCACATCCCTAGGAGTAGTGTACATTCTCTCTCTCCCCCCCCCCACACACACACACACATACGCACGCGCACACGCACGCACGTACGGTGAGCAAAAGGTAATATGTAATAATATGGGGTATTCACAAGGGCAAAAAGCAACGGCAAAGAAGAGATCCCCAAAAACAAAACAAAGAAAAAAGGTTGTTAGAACTAAACAAGGTCCGGGGCGCCTATTGTGCGCTGACTATGGGGTGTGCGATCTGTGCGCGCGCCTTTGTATCTTGCAAGTGTCTGTCCCCCCCCCCCCCCAACGCGCGGATTTTTAGATTTAGCAAGTGTCAGATCGATGTTAGAAGCGGGCTGGACCGCGCGGCGGGGGTGAGGGAAAAAGATGAAGCATATTCGATTGGGTTCGAAACAAGCTTGTTTGAGGAGGAGGGGGTTTAGGTGAGCAAGTTTAGCTGGAATGGAATAACTAGTAAAGTACGTGTGGATAATGTATGTGGGGGCGCAACATAGCATAGGCATGCCCATGGGATACCAGGCTAAGAGGGCTTAGCGGTAAGAGAGGGTATTGGGCCTTGGTTTGTGCACACTTCTGCACTTGGTGTCTCTCCCACCACATGCCAGGGTGTGGGCGTCTTGTTTCGCCGTCCACGGTGGATCTATTTACGAAGCTCGACGGCAGTGTGGGGATGCGGCACACGTCAGATGGGCGATTGTATGGCCTGTGGTTGGTGCTGAGGTCAAAAGGTAGGCCAGGGTCCATCGGTCACTCGCTAAGGTATGACCATGGCTGGTAGTGACTATCCAATGCGTGACGCCGCGTGTGGAGAATAAAGAGGCAAAGAGATGCGGATGCAGAAAATGGCCAGACTATTGCGGGAATGTTTTGCAGTAGCGGGGCCGTGGGAGGGCTCGTGATGAGGCAGAGACCGTGTTTGTAGTCTAATTTTCTTATTGTGTTTAGTTCTTGCTTTTCTTGCTATTTCCATCTTGTTTACCGCTATTTGCGCGTGCGACTACGGGTGTGGTCGGGTACTGCAAGTTGGGTTAACAAGCGTTTTCCATGTGTGTGTGTACATAGTACACAGTAAGAACGTTCCCAGAACAATGGCAGTTATGCCAGGCGCCCGGTGGTGCTCACGGCGGTAATCCCGCAGTACAGGATACTTAGTCAAAGGACCATTAGGCGTTCAGCAGCTGGAACACGCAATGGCGGTGGGTCTCGGCGTGTAATCAACTTTGAGCGCAGCGTAATGGAGGGGCTAGCAGGCCATGGCAGAGGGTGGCACCGCGGCAAAACCAAGGGCTGCGCAAGCACCAGGGTAGTTCGTTTCATGTTCGTTTGCCCAGGCTACGTTTGGGGGGATTCTGTCGCGAAGGATGGGTTTGAGATTAATGCAGAGTGGTCTGTACCGCGGCTGGATGGGGAATGGTTGGCGGGGGGAGCAACAGCAGCGAGGCGTCGCAGGTTAAGGCTCGCTTGCGCTTACCCTTTCTCTGCTCGTCGTGAGCAGTCACGACGATGGTCATGATGATGATGAGTGGATAGATATGGCCCAAGGCGAGAGTCTAATGACGGAATTTTGCAGCAGATTGACAGGCGGTCATCATGACAGATGGCGTCGCCCATACGGGCCGTTGGTGCACAGCCAAACGCCGCAGATCGAGAGGGCCAAGGCATGTAGAGGTGCCGGATGCAGCCATGGTGGAAGCTTGCACAGGCACTAGGCAGTTTTGCCCTCTCTGTTGCCAGGCAGGCTGTATAGTGGCCGTAGTAAGAGGTAAGAAAGACCATAAGCAACGACGGCGGAGTGGTACCGAGGCATGGCCGTTTGGCGGAGTAGTGGAGGGTAGTGTAGTGCGTACTGTGTAGGTGGGTAGTGGAGTGGTTGGACTGACTGCACCTCCATCAAAAACCAACAAAGAAAGACGCCGCCATGCCGCCACGCCGCGCAGCCAACCCGCGTCCCCAACACGATGAAGATGCAGTGCAGATGGAGAGGTGAGTGGTGGATGGTTATCTCTGTGTCTGGGGCAGCTCCAATCAGAGGGGCAACGGGCGTATGAGTGCAGCAGCTGAAGCATAGCAGACCAGGGCCGGGGTTTGAGCAGCGTGGGCCGGTTGAGATCAGCGGCCAGGCTCCTTCCTGCTTGCTGCTTGCTGCTTGCTGCCATCACAAGGCCCGTGCACCCGATGCCTATCGTCCACCCATTTTTTTCCCTGCCCGTCCGCGCCAGCTTAAGCGCAAAACGCCTTTCTTCATTCTCGTCGTCTTGGCTTGGCTTCCACGCCCCATACTTTAACGCTCGAGTTCCCACTCGGTCTTGGGCTTTTTTTTCTTCTCTGACGTGCCCGTCTGCTGGACTAAACAATTCTAGATCTTTTTCCCCTCGTCGCTATAGTTTTCTTACCATCGACTTAATCGTGTGCGGCACACATCCCCCCCCACGTGCCCTACTTCCTATTCCTGGCTGGTCCCTTTACTTTCCTCCCATTCCCCTCTCAGCATAACGCCTTCGCCGACTATTCCTACATATCATCCGGCCCAATTGTCTAGAAGGAAAAAAAACTCTAGTTCCCGTGTTTTTACAAAGATATAAAGATGCGCCGCCAACTCCCTCCCACCCATCTCAAGGTTCCGCCAGGTCCCCATGCGTTTCCCCGGCAACAATTCGTCGGACAAGAGACTGTTGTTGTAAACCACTACGCGGGAATTGAAAAGGCAATTCCGGCTATACCGTCGCTACCGGGATTCAGAACAAGTGCCGGTATGTTGGATTTTTCATTTTGGATTGGGTGTGGTGGAGGAAAAACCCATAGTGGTTAGAGTTTCCATGTACTAATACCAAACAACAGCTTTCCTCACTTCATTGAGCGCCAATCTTAGAATCGACCCAGACCTCCCTTCACCACTACCCACACCAACAAATTTCCGTCTAAACACCTTTATCCAACCAGTGCCTCCAACCTCACTATCCTATTCAACATCCACCGCCCCGTACAACCCCTACGTATCCACAGCTGAATCACACGTCATGTCGTCGACCGAAGCGAGTGCACCAGAAAAGGCTCCTGCCGACGAACTGCCCCAACTTTCCACCTACACGGCTGAGACCGAAGATGACCGTATCGAGGGTCTGCGCCTGGTCGCCGACTCGGTTGCACAGCAGCGCCAAGTCGCGAGCAAGATGATGATGTTCCACCCCGTTTCGCTAGCCGCCTACTTTGTCGCTGTGGCCATTGCAGCACAGTACATGCTCCGGTGGTACGAGGACAAGTTGATGCTCGTCACCACCATTGGCGGCATCAGCATGACTTTTCTAATCTTCATTCGCTGGATGACTGGTGGCTACATTAGCCTGGCAGAGGACATCGACATGGACTGGCTCGGTGACGACAGGTTGATTGTGGTCAAGTGGGGTGAAGATATCATCGGTTCATTGGTCTTGGGTTGGGCAGACAATGATGCCGCAAAGAAGCGTGGCAGGAGAAGGAGGGGCAAGGCCGTTGTGCGTGCTTGGACCGTCAAGCTCAAGTACCGCGGTAAAGGCGTTGGCGAGGGTCTTTTGGAAGAGGCAGTCAGGGTTGCGGGCGAGAGGGGCGCTGATGGCATTCTTTTCGATCCCGACCATGCCAGTAAGTTTTACTACTACGATACAATCCTCTCGATCAGGTTGCTAACAATGACTACCAGACTCCAAGCGCATCCTGCCTCCTATCTTCAACGGATTCCTCAACAAGCAAGAGGCCAAGGCCGAAAAGGCTCTACAAAAAGTCGCAGACGCAAAGGGCAACTTCCGCCAGCGCCAAAGCTCCCCTACCTGGGGAAGCAGATAGACGATGACATCTTCTATTATTATTTTCCATATCTCTCGATCTTTATCGTAAGAACAGAGCAGCAGGAGTTTTCGGGCTTTCATTATTTGTCGCTGCAGCAAGTTTGCTGTATTGGAAGATACCCCACACACACATTCCTCTCGTTGATTGATGATACCCACCATACAATCGCTATTCTCGGCCATCTACTATGACATTTAGTTTATTAGAAACTATTTGCGCTCCTAATCAAAGATACGTTATCAAGCATCTGTCTATCCCTTGCCTTGTTCATGACTATAACAACTCGTAGTATAGATCGGTGGCATATTATGTTTTATCTAAGTAGATTCGTTCGATGATGGGTGTCCTACGATTTAGTTGCATGAAAGACGGCCATCTCCGTTGACCTGGTGACTTGATGGCGTACTGTGTATGTGCGCCACTTTGAGTCAGGATACATCGGGCATTGATCCGTACAGTCTATCTGCCACACCCAACACACCAACTCACATGGCCCCTTGGAACCCCGACGATTGCTATCCGGTGCATTCCTATCTCAACACGCTTCCTCTAGGTGTACTCTCCCCCCTCCAAGCCCTGCAAGATGCAAACCACCCTGCAATGCGTACTGATAACGGTGCATAAGCCTTGGATACCAACTAACCGCCCGAACGGTACCTACTACTACTCTCTGGTTCGCCGGCACCGCGCCCTTTTTTTTACCCCGCGGTTACGTCGCTACTACCATTCTACTTACCCCTCCATTTCCTCGGGCACCACCACCACCGCCCCTCAAGATTAGCCCTTTCCCGGTTTCCTTGTTACTTTTGTTTTGCCCAGGGATATGCAAGCCAAGCCAGCCCATTTAGATTCGCCGGAAACCAAGATATCGGGGGGTTTGATGGATGTTGGGGGAGAGTAGAGTATGCGCGTTCTAGATGCGACGAACGACTGATAACGTTTTTTTCTTTGCGTGAGATGATCGCTCGATGTTTGTTTCCCCCTCTCGCTCGCTCTCACGCTTTCCCTCGCCGCGTCAGCTTGGCTCTTTCGGCAACCCAGTCTCGCAATGACGCGGCTCCTAGCAATAACCTTTGCGTACAAAGCTTTGGTACAAAGACAAAGGCATGGTTGAGGTTTCATATACAAAAAAAAACTTTCCCGGATGCCTATTCGGGGCTTCCCTCAATTCAACGCGCGGCTGCACCAGCCTCTGTGTCTCCATCTACGGAACTCGTAGGATACTCTTCGCGCAGCTGCAGTATCACTTTCTGTATCGGCCCGCGAGTTAGCCAAAAAAAAACCCCCAACCAACCACTTCTCTTCTTTCTCTCTCTTCTTTTTTTTAGGCGTTAATCGGCTGTAGATGCCGTGTAACGAGGACTATAATAGAAAACAATAACCCAACGGCGGACAATGCGGAGCCGCGCGCGCGAGGGTTCGCTGTGCCACAGTGGATAAAGTCACGGGTGTTTGTTTGCTTAAACGTACCGCCAAAGCCTCTGGGTTCGCGCCATTTTCAATCAATGACACGCAATATGATAGTTGCTGCCGATCGAGATGCGTGTTCTAGAGCCGAGAGTTTTAGTTGTTGAGCGGGGAGGGGGAGCAGGGAGCAGGGAGCCCAAGTGGCTGCTGCATTACTTACCAGCAATGTTGCAATTTCGTGGAGAATGTCGATGACTTCTCGGGCAGCCTTTCTACGGGCGTCTGCTGAGGTTTGTTCGGCTGCTGGCATTTTCGGGGATTTCCTTTTTTCTTTCAGGTCTTCTGGGTAATAGAGAAGATACAACGGCTGTGGCTGTTTTAGGTAGCGGATGTCTGTTTGTTGACAGCCGTCTTGGAGCGCGAGGACCGTACAGAACGCGGCGCGCCTCTGGCACGTGACATTCCTTGGCGGGTGTCACTCCTCTATGACGCCTTCATATCAAAGAGACTGAGACTGCACTCACAATATCGGGTAGAAGCAAGGCGACTTAATATTCGACAACACTCTCGTCTACTTCATGTCACTTCAGTAGTACGTGTTCTAGCCTTTTTAGATGGGTGATTGGAAATCGGTCTTCAACGATATCGATATATCCAGCTCATGGTATCACCACCACGATGAGGAAGCACGGCCTACCAGTGCCCAAATATCTAAGTAAAACTACGTGATGGACGTCTGTCTGCTTGTAGTAGTCTCCCGCCATATCTGCAATCGCATTTTTCCAAACTAAACCCAGGAAGGTAGAAAATATCTTCTATGTCAACTAAAATGCATCTCTAGCGATGTTCAAGCGATTTTCACGTCTAAGATACTACTAGTAATATATAAAAAATTTACATTTAGGATACACTAGGCTTGATTCCCCTTATTCTGGAGATTTAGAAATCTACATGACTCTGACTGGCTAGGTAAAATACCATCGCAGACATGGTGCGATTCTGACTGACCCTGCGCTCCATATCAATTGTTTACACTCATGAATTCTTCACTCTCTCTCCTCTAGACTATCTTACGTAGTCTTGTCAGACCTACACCCCGCCTCTTTCTTTACCCTTCCCTCACCAATGTCTTCGGAACCTGCACTGTGCCATCCCTTCCTGCTACAAAAAAAAGCTGGACTAGCGGCGTCGTTTTCATTAGTTAGTCATTTGATCAATGAATTTATGTAACGTTTATGTATGCCTTGTATGAAGTGTATAGACAGGTAAGGCCTAGAGCGTATAGTTCTGTAGAATGTCTAGCTGTCTAGCTGTCTATTTAATAGGGATATATCTGGGGCTAGGGTCGTGTAGATGCTCCTTTGTTAGTTAAGATTCACTACCCTGTTACTTGCCTACATGCGTAGTAGCTATATTTCTTTTTATATTTCTTTCTTAATATTATATCAAATAAGCAAACGCCTTGCAGAGAAAAAACCTTGTAAAGTTTAAGCAAAGAACAGAAAGACAACTTCTCTCTGCAAGAGAGAGGGAGAGAAAGCTCCTAGTAAAGCTACACAGAAGTTTTATAATGGCTGTCAAGTTCTCACCAACTGTTAATATCTGTCGGACTTTCAAACCGCTAATTGCATCACTCACTGCACCAAGCCACCGTCATTCCCACTAAGATACAGGTAGATAAACAAGACCGGTGAAGCGCCTAGTATATAAAATCAGTAGTGCAAACCATGTAATTCCCTGGAGTAGCTCGAGCTAGAAGAAAGCGTTCATGTGTAGAGTGTGTGGCGTAGAGGTTGAGGAAGTAGGCAGAGGGGTTTGGTATGGCATCTCGACTGATGTACGAATAGACTATTATATGTAGATACCTCTTATTCGGAATTTTACTTCGTAATCTACATAATTACATTCTTCTTCATTCCTTACTGCTTCATCCTATTGCTACTACACATGCTCATGCAATGCCTATGGGGTAACTACCGCCAACCCGATACTGCAGGAGGAGAAGATCTAGGAGGGAAGGGATAAGAAGCCGTACTCAAAGGCTTTTTTTTGAGGGTCGTGACTTTAACTGTTTGTATCTGTTCGGCGTATGGTGTGTCAGACGATTAATTTTTTTTAAAAAAACAAAGAATGGGGGGCGACACCTCAATGTGCCGGAATCACATAGCAAAAAAGATCGCAGTCAGGGTAAAGATTCGAGTACGAAGTCTGTACTGACAATTCGGAGTTCCAGCTCCGAGATCTTTGTGGAGTGTAAGGTGGGTAAGTGTGTCAGGAGAAACCGGTGTGATATATTTTAGACGGGGTTATATGAAGACTTGTTTATTTCGTGGGTATATCGTAACGGGTATAATCAGACCATCCACCATCCATCTACCGTCTTTTTTTGTATGCACATAGGGCATGGATAAACACTTCAAATCGCTAAATCACCATCTCGCCCTGTTCCTCATCCCCAACACCAGCTTCATCACCCGGATCCCCTTCCTCGTCTAAATCCTCGAGGGGATACGTTAATATAGCAGCGACATTGCCCAGCCCCTCCAATCTCTTGCCACTCTCGTGCAGTGAGCTAAGAACCCTTACCTCACCCCCTTCTACGTCTCGTACTTGGTCAACCAGCTTAACCCATCTCCTTCGCTCCTTGACGTTTTGCGCGCGGAAAAGTACATTGTTAATTAGAAGCACGCCACCGCCTCTCCCAACAGCTCCCTTTGCTACTGCACGTTCCACCTCGCGGGGGCCGTACCATGCGCGGCCATCATCGAGGCGCATCAGTGTGTTGAATTTGTCCATGAGGGCTGTCTCACGGGCAAATTTGGTGTCTGAGAGTTTTGCGGTGATGGCTGGGGAGGAGAGAACTTCGTTTAGGGAATGTATGTGGGCTGATGAGGAATGCGCGACGATGATAGAAGGTACTAAAGCCATGAGCGGTTTGTTTGTTGTTCTTGTTGCTTCTTCTTTGATGTACTGGAGAAAGGCTGTGGCGACGAAGCCGGGGCTAGCGAGGAGCAAGGGAAGTGTTTTGCCTTGCGTTGAGTTTGAAGCGTTTGGGAGGTCGATTTGGCGGAGGAGTGTAGAGAGAGTTGTGGAGAAGAAGCGCTCCATGCCTTTACTGTGGCCGTCGACGCCACCCCTACGTTTTCTGGGCACAGGGACTTCGACTTTCTGGCGCAGAATAGTCTGGTGTTCTGTAATCATGCATATGTTTGCGACGCCTTCGCCCAGCACGACTGCCCACAGCTCTGCACGTTTCGAGGCATCGCATGCCTCTTTAAGCTGCTCAAGAGCGATACTGTCCCAGCCGTCTGCCTTTTCTATCGTGAACTTGCGGTTGAGCTCCAGGTCCAGTGTGTGGTGCTGCCCCAGCTTGACGTGCTCATTTTCCTTTGCGACACGGCCAGACACATGCAGCTGTTCGGAGCCAATGTCAAAGTCGGTCGAGGTAACGGTGATGGTGAGATCAAGGGTAATGCGCTGCGATGAGGTGGAGCCGGCATCGGATGTCTTTGAGACGCGGCGCACTGCTTTCGCGCGGATCTGGTCGTGCTCTTGGATCAGGTTGTAGGCATGCCACATATCCTCAGGTTCCTCAGGCAACAGCGTGGCGAAGCCGGCGCCCGTCTTGTGTTCAATCTGGCTCTTGAGCAGCTTCATGGCGGAGCAGTACACCAGGCGGCTCTGGTGTGTTGCTGCAGTGATGTAGGGCAGCGCACATACATGGAGTATGGTGGAGTTAACTTTTGCCTGGTAATGACGCAACCATGGATGGAGGGGCGCCCGTAACCCCCACGCTTAGGGTTAGGCGTGGGGGGCTCGAGACTAATCCTGATAAAGTTTGTACCTCGCATCCTGCATCAGCCCTTCTTTGGTCCCCCCAAGCTTACATACATATGTATGCACATATAAGTATAGTCAGAACGCTAACACGATACTTTCGCACCAACGGGTATACACGCCCCGTGCCCGATACGGATACTCTATCTAGACGACCACTCATTACCCTGGACGCGTATAGGCGGAAATTACCAAGACCGAATGCGAGAATTGCATTATATCGCTTACTAGCTCTTCGCAAATAGTGTGACATACCTACAGGTCAAGTAACTTGGCAGCATCACTCAGGTCACACCACCATCATGTTGATAAGTTAAGATACGCTGCATGGGTGCAATTACAAAAACCTATATACAAGAATTCTGCAAATTCAAATCCGCTCTACCTGCTTTACCTGTTCTACCTCGCCTTGATGATATCAGCAGCCTTCTCACCAATACCATACATGGTGGCCTGGAGATGGCAAGACGGGATAAGAGGAATGATTGAAGCATCGACAACAGACAAGTGCTGGGTTCCGTACACGAGCAGCTTGTCGCTGACACAGCCACCATCCTTTTCAGCCATCATGGAGCAAGTACCCGCAGGGTGAACAAGGGAGGGTTGAAGCATGGATTGCTTGAGGAGGGCATCGAAAATCTCCGTGTCAGTTTGAAATTGCGCACCAGGAACAGTCTCGCTGATCTTGTAGCTCTTGAGTTCAGGGCGTGCCCACACGCCACGGAAGAAGCGCAGGCCAATTGACATGATCAGACGGTCGACGGGGTTCACAAAGGCGTTGAACGCAACATCGGGGGCTCCGTTGGGGTTCTTGGCGTTGATGGTGATGCTACCACGTGAAAGGGGCTTCTCGATACCAATGAGGGCGTAGCTGCCATCGGCGGCTAGCGTCATTTCAGTAGCGGCTGCGTCCTTGCGTGCAAGCAAGTCGGCAAGAACCTTGCGCTGCTTTGCATATCCCGCCGCGAGTTTGGAGTTCTTCTTGTAGATGCTAGGAAGGAAGTCGGTTGCCTTCTGACCATTCACCATGTCGATGAGGGCCTGGGTGTTGTTGGTAGTATCAGAAAGGGGGATGAAGGCAAGTGCATTGCCACGAGCATACGTGTAGGGGCCCGTCTTATACTGTTCATACTCCTTCCATGCAGAAGCGTTGAAAGTAGCATTGGTGTTCAGCGACTGGAGGTTGGGGAAGAAGTTGGACGTAGTGTTGAAGATGGCTGTGGCGTATGGGTGGTCCTGGAAGTTGGCACCTACGGAATCGAGCTCAACCCTGGTCTGGATACCCGCAGCTTGCAACACAGCCCTGGGACCAACACCGCTAAGCTGGAGAATCTTTGGGGTTTGGATAGCACCGGCAGCAAGGATGACCTCCTTTTTGGCGTAGAAGCAAGTAGTCTTGCCGGCCTTGTCGGTCACCTCGACACCTCGTGCCATGGGCTTTTTTCGGTCATCGAAAATGACCTTCTTGGCAGTGGCGCCAGTGATGATGTGCAAGTTACGGCGCTTCTGGATGGGATCGTAGTATGCATAACGGGCGTGGGCACGGCGTCCAGTGGTCGCGTCCATGGTGTTGGGATACCAAGAAACACCATAAGCCTCTCCGGCATTTCCGTCGACTGGCACATGAACACCACTAGCCTTCCATGCTGCCCAGTAAGCCTTAATATCCTGATACTGGGTTGAGGTGATAGAGACAGTGAGCGGCCCCTTGCCGTAGGTCGAGGGGTCAAAGGTGATGTTGAAGTCACGGATAGTCTTTTCAGAAGGAGGCTGGAATGTAGTGCCCTTGATGAAGTAGGGCTCCATTCCCTCCCAGCCCCAACCCTTGTTACCAAGGGCCTCCCACGCATCATAATCAGCGGCAGCGCCACGGTCATAGACCATGCCGTTGATGACTGAACCACCACCCAGGACCTTGGCTGCTACAACTGGGAATGAGCTATTGCCAAGACCAGGTTCAGCCACCGAGGTGTAGTTCTCCCAAATCAGCCCGTTGGCAGAGGCGAGGTCATTGGCTTTCCACGGAATCTTGGTCGAGGGCGTATCGACATTGTCACCAGCCTCAATGACAAGAACAGTCTCTATTTCACACGTGTGAGCAAATGTATGCTTATCGTATTCTGATGGGATACATACTGCTCCAGTCTTCACTAAGACGGTTGGCTACAATCAAGCCAGTGACACCTCCGCCAACAATGACATAGTCGTATGGCTGGTTGTATGCTGCGCCAAGAACGGGCGACACGAAAACAGCAACGAGCTGGACAGCGACAGCCAAGCGTGAGAATACAGGCATCTTGACGCACAATGATGAAGATTAGATTATTAACGAGTGTACGTATGGGTCGGTCTGGTGTGGTACTTCAAGAATGTGCAGGCAATATATGCTTTATACGGGCCGAACTTTTCGCTGAATCGTTACTTGCATTGGTTGAGAACTCGTACGCCACGTGGGAAATGGTGGGTGCGGCCTCATCCCTCCGACATGGAAGATACATATTTGGGCGGTTCGCTAAACCAGGGAGATAATGCTCAATTGATGCAGTGGATGCAGCTATGCTCGAAATGTACCCGTTCGTTCTAGAAGAACCAGAATGGGGTGATGTAAAGGGGGACGTCTCCATAGATGTGATCCTGCAGCCAGACATGCAAAGCGGACGTGCCCCTGGCTGCACCGTGACGCTTTGGGAGGCCTGTCAGGCACCGGTAGAACCCGGTCCACGGAATCAAGGGCAATTCAATTCTTACCCAAGGATCGGTTTCAGTGGACAGATACTGCGGTCTATGCACCAAATGGAGGGATGTTTGGCAAAAGAAGCGGTTGGCACTGAAGACGAGCCTGTGTGTTCTGGCCAATCTCACCTTCGCTAACTAGTGCGCCACCCCCGCTACACACTGGGTCCGAGGAAGAAACTTCAGTTTCGAACGACGATGCTTTTGGGTTTAAGCTACACGTGAGGCTCCCGTAACAACGGCAGAGGCGTCCGCAACGGCGGCTGAGGCGCCACAAAAGCAATGCCATATATGCATATGGGGAAAAGGATATTAAACAATGGCCATGGGAAGCCAGTGGTGCATGTCGGAGATTTCGCGCAGTATAGCTGCAGATTGCACGTCAGCCTTGGATACAGTTAGGTGCTACAGGAATACTTTTCCCTGCGCAATCCTCGCCTGCCGTGTGCGGTTAAGGCGCTCGGCAAGCTAATGTGCCGATTCGTCCATATGGTATGTAATGTCACTCAGATCCTTGGGGCTGGTCGCCTTTCCAGTAGTAACTGTCGCTCGTTGGCCAGATCAACCACGCCGCGTGCCCCCTGTAATCTACAATTCATCTTTACTTACACGGGCAATCCACGCGACCCTGGTGCGAACGTGTGTGGCCTGTTTGCACGTGTGCCCCTTCAAGTGGTGGTTGCCACTACTACGCATTCGCCAAAAGGAACACGGGCCGTCTCCAAGATTAGAGGGTAGTCTCGCTATTGAATCGGCAGGGCAAATATGGGGGGGGGGGCGGCCAACCAATGGCTGTGTGGCCGGCAGTGGTCCGCCTCAGCTTATTTTGCCGTGCCGTCTTCTACTCACCCTGAGGTTTTGCATAGACTCAACTAGCTTCGGACGTTGATGCTAACTGTGGATGGCGGACGTGAGAATAGGCTGAGTTAGTGGTTTTTCTGGGGGGGCTGTGGATGCCATGAGCTTATGGGCTTCTGGCTTCTGGCTTCAGGGTCTTTCTATACGCGGATAGACTTGACGACGTCAGGTTCGCTTGCGGATGCCGGAAGATGGAACGAGCAGCAGAAGCAATATTGTGGCGTCGCCCCCAAGGCTTTAGGAGAATAAGTAGAGGGAGAGGCAGACGGCAGCGACGCGGAGTTTTGTGTGCATGTGGTGTGGGTGGCTTTGGGTACGGAACAGAGCGGCCCTACCGGACGCTAACGAGGCTGACCCCACTAGCGCGTTGTGTGGCTCTCCCGCTCCCATCGTGCCATCTCATCGTGCGACGACTCGTAAAGGTATCCCCACCACCGCGAACCATGGATTTGTGCCTGATTTGCCCGCACACGCTCTGTGCCGACCGCCTGGTAAACATTGCTGTGTGTAAACCACGTTGCACCACTGTTGCGCATTGTGTCATGCATCAATGACAGGACTTGGTCTACGACATCCGCTGTCTCTGCCATCCATGAGAATTCACCCCATACAGTGACATGATTCCCCCGTTTCTGTACATGTGATGGCCCGTCTTCTATGCATTCTCTTGATTCATGGATACTCGACCACCCTGCACCCTCTCTCCAATTGGACCGGCCTGCAGCGCGCATGGTCTCGTTTATGCACAAACACAGCCTGGGTCAGCTCATTAGCTTTGATGGAAGGATGCGTATGTATCGCGAAGCTCCGAGCCGACTCGTTTCGAGAACCGCTCTGGAGCGCATGTACGGGCCTTCTATGATCGATCTGGCCCTCTCACCCGCCTCTGCAGCCGGTTGACTTTGGATTTCCGCTTTGCTCAGTCGGACGCAGTGCGGCCAACATACTAACAGAGTTGGGCCTGAATCCAACTACACGTACATGATATATCCTTACATACACCACAGACTCCGAATGGACGTTTTTGCCTTTTCTTTTTCTCCTTGACTCCGACCGTCCACCCCGGCGCAGTATGGATCCAGTCACCCAGCAATGGCCCAATCGGCGACTCGAAGTCCTGATCCCAATGTGGTCGATGACGGTGATCGCTGCCGTATTTCTTGTATGGAGAGTTGTCTACGGCTTTTCTCATTCTCGCAGATTCATGACTAGTGATTATCTCTTGATTGTCGCAGGCGTAAGTCTTATTTCCTTTTCAGCCCTACACCTGTTCCCACGGCAGTTCGCAATTCTGACCGGAACCCTTTCAGGCTCTCAACATCACCGCAACATCCCTCACCCAGGTTATCACAGATAATGGACTGGGTCGCCATATTATGGACCCCACGGTCTTGCCCAATATCTTGAAATATAGCCACTATCTATGGGTCACTCAGATCGTCAGTATGTTCATCAAGGCATTTCATCAGAAACGCATAAGCTGACTGTGTTTGCAGACATCATTGCCATGGCCTTTTTGAAGTGGTCCATTTGTGCATGGCTGCTCGTCCTGAACTTTTCTAAGATCTACCAAATCATCATCTGGATGTCCATCCTGATGGTCACAGCCTTGAACTTCTTGGCCCCTGTCTTTACACTGTTTGGATGCACACCATTGGAGAAGAACTGGAACTTTGGGTTTAAAGGAGAGTTTCATTGCTGGGCCAAAGGCACTCTCCCGCAGTCCTACGCCCAGGGCATCAGTAATGTTGTCACTGATGTTGTTTACATGGCTGCACCCCTGATCTATCTATCACACGTGCAACTGAACCGACGAACTCAGTGGGGGATTCGCATTGTCTTTCTGCTCAGTATCCCGTAAGTCCAAACATATCCAGAACTTCTAAAATCTCCTTTGACTAACATTTACGCCTCTTCCAGTGCCACAATCTGCTCCATCTTCAAGACTATTGAGCTCAAAACCATCGTTTCAACCAAAGATCCAACCTGGAACGGAGTACCATTGACCGTCTGGTCTGGCGCCGAACTCTCCCTCGGTATCATAATCGCATCGCTCCCACCCCTTCGCAAAGCCTTTGACCACTTCTTCTCCAAGATTCTCCCATCGACGCTGACCAGCTCAGCCAGGACCCCAGGCTACGGGTACGGCGGCCACTCTACAATTGGAGGCGGCGCCGCAGGAGGCAATGGCATCCCCCTGAAGAACTTTCAAGGCAGCAAAGCCTACCACTCGCGTATCCCCGGCGAAAGCGTCCTCGATGACGAAAGCGACCGCGCCATTCTCACCGACGAAGAAGAACACAAGGGCCCCGGCATCATGAAGAGCACCAACGTCGAAGTGCGAGTCAGCGAGCATGGTCCCCCCTCTGGACTGCATCCCGCTAGCGAAAGCAGCAGATCAAGCGGAGACGCACCCCCCATCACGAAGAATTTCGAGTCTCCGCAGATCGACTGGTCGAGCCCGCACATTGAGAGCGGAAGCGGTGGTCACCATCCTCGTCTACGATGAACGAAAACCTACCTAGTTAACCTCCCCTCGTCCAATCATTTTGACTTTTTGTCACGTTTTTATATACCAATTTTCTTTTTCAGCGGGAAAACGGCCTCAGATGGGTGGGTGCGCCTTTAGCTCCTTTTCAAGGAGTTGTAGGGTGCTGGGAAATAAAGAAAAACTGGGTAATGGATATGGGTAACGTTAGAGGCATCTACGGGGACCTATTCCTTTTTCTTTTGTGTATAGCATGCATTTTTCTCTTGTTGTTATTCTTGTTCTTAAATATCTACCAGGATATCATCATGATTGTGAAAAAAGCAGAAGCTGGTGTTTGCAGAGTTTCGATACCCCCCACCCTTTTTTTTCTTACACTCTTTTTTTTTCGGGCTTCTTCTTTTGTTTGGCAGGATAGTTAAGTAGTAGGATTGGAAGACGGCAAGGAATATGGTAATACTTAGTTGTATTCAAGTCATGTAGCCGATCCTTTTTGGAGCATACACGCATGCCATGAATCTCATTTCTGTTGTATATGTTACAGGCACAAAGTTCGATCTGCAACGCAGCCTTTAGACTTGCAGGTGGTAGTGACATACAGGGAAGCGAATATGGTGGTGTTTGGCGAGAAAACTATGTAACTAGGTTCGCTACACCATGCTGATCCCTAATAGACACGTCTGCCTATAGGAATTCTTCCAGCTGTGGCAACACTGTCAAAGCGCTGACTATCACCTAAGCCGGATCGGGCTCGGCTTTGGGCTCCGACACCAAATCGCGCATTCGACCTGTAACCTGGTGGCTGTAAACTTTCTCTCGTGCTTAAGGTTATTCGCAGCAGTCAGCAATGTTCCGAGTGGCGGGCTTACCCGAAGGAAGAAGGTCCGCCAATGACGTTGCGAGTGTTGCATGCGATAACAAAGACGGGTTAATATTAAGGGGGGTCATATGTGAGCCAGATAAGATGGTTGTTATCTTCGTACATGTTAAAGAAGGTTTTGTGCGTCATAAGTATAAATATTTGCATAAAGCGTCTATCTCGTATCGTCGTGAACATTATGTCGTTTCTATAAGAGCCGTGTTAAGCATATAGGCATCAACGTCGCATCATCTCGGCGAAAGAAAAAGAAAACTAAAAGGCAGCCCAACGTAGAGTGCCCTAACCCGAAGTCGTAGTGGCGGAGGCGACCCCAAAAGTTGATGTAGGTTCGCTACCGCGGTGCTGGTTCTGAGGTTGGAGGCGGCCGGATTCGCTACTACGCAAGAGACAGTGGCAGGCGGCAAGGTCATGATTCGCGAATCTCAATCATCGTATTTCCCCTCTTCAAAACAGGCTCTACCTTTTCTGAATCTTGGCTCTCATCATCGACCAAAGCCCCCATTCGCGTCAGTCCGCTCTGTCGCCCTTCCCCCATTCTTTGTACCATGCGTTGGATATTTGGGTGGCTAGGTTGTGGTCTCCCGCCCGAAAATCTCCTCGGTACTGCATAATTTGCACCCAACCTTGTGCGCATACCCTCTTGTGTAGACAGCGTGCGATTTACAGGACCGCGTGGAGGTATGTTCTCATCGTCTGGGAGTTTCTTCTTGTCCTTTTTAGGTGAGATGAAGCGCCAGAGCTCTTTGGTCTTTTGTGCCCAGATGCTGTAGCCGTATTTTGTGGAGAGAAAACCAATGATACTGAAGAAGGGTATGCATATGGCGACGAGTACCACTGCAAAGTTTGTGAAACCGGCTTTGTCAGGCATGTTGGTCATGCCGAAAATGGAGGTAACAAATGTCAGGGGCTGTC